CCCTAGGGTGTTAATGACGCGTGCAGCTTAAAACCTCCAGGTTCCCAACTCTGGCTGCTCAGAAGATGACCCGAGGAGGGAGACAAGGAGAGAGGGAGGGAGAGGGAGGCAGGCACGGGGCGGGGGTTGGGGGGGGCTGCAGGTGATGCGTGTTTATTCTGACAAAACCAGCAACAGACGCGTGCAACAGAGAGGGACGCCGGGGAGGGGGGAGCTCGCGGCCTCGGAGGGGGTCCCGTCCTCTCGGTCTGCGCCCTCTGCCCAGCGCCCGGCCGCGCCCGGCCGGGGGTGTCACGCAGCCCCCCATTTGGTAGCCGTGACAAGCCCACGCGGAATCTGGAGAGACAGAGGCGCGGGGAGAGAGGGAGGGGGCTGGGACTGCGCACACCTGCTCGACTTCAGCTCATCTCACGCGAGCTCAACGACCTCAAGGGCGAGTCTCCCCCTCTGCGAGCGGGACGAGTCCCCCGGTTCCCCTCACGCCGGGCAGACAGGCTCCAGGAGGGGCTGAGTCTCAGCACCGTCACCCCCGTGCCTGCGTCCGGTCCCGGGCCAGGAGCTACCCTCAGGGCGCAGCAGACCCCCTGCCTCCCCGCTGCTCCGCTCAGCAGTGGATTTCCTCTGCCTGTCCTGCTCCCCGCTCTGTCTCTGGGGAGTCCTCTCACCCCCGCCCCTCTGGCCTGCACCCCAGCTCTTCTACACATAAATAAAAGTAAATCTTAAAAAAGAAGGTTCCACAGCTCAGTAACACAGTCTTGGGGGGCCTGGGGCGGAGGGACAGACGCATCAGCCTGGGCTGTCTGGAGTGGGTGCCCTTGGGGCGGCCCGCAGGGCACTTCTAGGTCCTGTCGGGAAAGTGGGGAGACGCTGGAATGGGCTAAAATGGGAGCTCACCGCGTCCTGGGCGCGTCCAGCCTCTCCCGGCTCCTGAGAGAGTCACGTCCCGCACCTGCAGCAGCTCAGGGCCTGGCCTGGCCCAGCCGCCCGCGCCCCCAGGCCGCCGCCCCAGCCCCTGGACGCCGTGGGTCCCGCCGGCCAGCCCTGGGGGGGGACAGCAGGGAAGGGGGGGCTGGGGGGCTGCCCTTGCCCGGGAAAGGGCCGCCAGGGCAGCTGGGCCGAGTCCGGCCAGAGGACAGCCTGGGCCCTCGGGATCCTGGGGCGTCCTGGGCGCCCCCTCTGCTCTCCGGGCCCCGGGGCCGGACACGGACCGGCGCGGGAGCCTGGCCCTGCGCCTGCCTGCGGTGGGGCTCCCTGCCCGGCCAGATGCCCGCGGGGACAGCTCGGGCCGGCGGGCCGCACCCGGGAGCAAGAGCCGCCCTGGAGCTTCTGCGAGGAGCAGGGAGCCCCGCCCCACAGCTGCACCCCACTCCCCGACCCTGCTGCGCCCCCGCCGGCTCCCGCGAGGCTGTGGCCCAGGCCCCCCGCACACGCGCCCCGAGGGGGCTGCCGTGGCCCCAGAGTCCGGGGGCCTCGAGGCTGGGCGGCCGCGCCGTGGCGGGGGCCGCAGGACCCGCTGACGGGAGCGTCCCGGCTGGCGGGGCAGCTCGGCCCGGGGCCCGGGGAATCCCCTTCCTCAGAGGAGGAAGCCGCGGGCTCTGCCGGCCAGTGGGCGAGACGAGGCCCGGCCTCCTGCCCCCGTGGCCCGCGCCGCGCTGGGCCTCGAGCCCCGGAGGAGCCGCTCCCGGAGCCCCGGCCTGCTGTGTCCCCTGCGGCGGGCCCTCTCCTGCTCGCGGGCCCTGCGTCCCGGGAGTGCGGGCCGCGCAGGTGCCGGCTCAGGCCTTCCTCAGGCGCTCGGGCTGGGCCGCGGGCTCCCGGTGGCGTGTGACAGGGCGGCCCGGAACAAGCGGCGGCCCGGCTGGGTCCTCGCCCGCGGCCTGAAGGGGGGAGCACTCCGCTGCGGGCGCCCGCCAAGGTGAATAAAGGGTTAGTCGCCAGGGACGGGGAAAGAGGAAAATGTCCAAGTCAGGGAGAAAGGAGGGAGGTGAAGTCTTAAATGCGTCCTACCCTCTCCCCCGACCTGGCCTCCCAGGGGCACGCTGAGGGCTGGCGGGGGGCCAAGAGCTGTGGAGCCACGAGGAGCCCCCCACGGCCCACGTGACTGGTTTTATACCACCCCCGGCTGCTGAACCCCACCCTCAGGTCCCAGCCACCGCCCTTTGGCGGTGACGGGATGTGTCTCTCCCAGGGTCCTGGCGGCTTTGGCCTGGCCAGGGGTGGGGTCCACCGGCCTGTATGGAGTTGGCTCAGGACACCCTCGCCCCCTGACGGTCGGATGGAAGTGTGGCGCCTGCCCCAGGAACCCGCAGCCGCACCTCGGGGGTGTGCACCCCCCGGCATGCACGCCCTGCGCGGTGTGGGGTGTTGTCTGCGATCTCCAGAGCCCGGAATCTCGATGCTCCCAGCAGTGGACAGCTGGGTGTGGCCGCGCCTGGAGGAGGCTTGGTCTTCCTTAGCCACATAATAAGAGGGTGACGCTGCCAACGGCTGAGGCCCCCGAGGGAGGACCGAGTCGCTCGGGCCAGTCAGCGTCTGCAGGGGGTGTGACGACGCGTGGTCAGCGGCCCGCGGCCGCACCCTCACTGCGTGTCCTGAGGTCGCGGGTCACCCCTGCCCAGATCACAGGAGGCCGGGGCTGCTGTCAGCCTGTCTGGGATGCGCTTCCTCCCGGCTGGGTTTCGGTCTGTGATCAGAGGCTTTCCAGAAATTTCCAGATGCAGAGAAGGTTGCCGGGTCGGGTCTCCCAGCTCATCACTCCCCCCCGCCCCCCCCCCCCGACTTATTCTCCCAGAGGCGTCTTCCTTGTCGGGGCCAGGGCCTTGTGCCTGGCTCTGACCTTGGCGGGCACTGAACCGCCGGGCCAGAGCTGGCCGCTGCCCGTGTGTTCACAGGGCCCCTGGGGCAGCTACTGCATCCAAAGCTGGCCGAGGCCTGGGGCAACCAAGTGGCCTATGTGGGGTGGTGGCCCAGAAACCCCATCCCTCACACCTGCAGGGTCTGGCGCCCGGAACCCGCTAGTCCCATCCTGTGTGCCCAGAAGTGACCAGGAGAATGGAGGCTCCGCAGCCCACCGTGACCTCTGCCCCCACGGCCTAGCGCCCCCACTGCACTGGACAAGAGCCCCAGGGAACGGCATGGTGGGGGGTGGGGGTGGGGGTGGGCGGGCAGTGTCTCTGGAAAGCAGCTTTCAGCGGCCCTGCGGCGGCACAGCACAGCTGCAGCGAGCCCTCCCTCAGCCAGGGTGACCCCACATGGGGCCCCTCTCCTCCCAGGGGCCCAGAGGCTCTGCCAGGCTGGGAACCCTGGGCTTGTGGGATCCCCAGCTGCTCCCAGAGCTGGGGCTGCCGTCTCCCGGCGGGACAGGGCTGTGGGGGCGGGGCCCCTCCGGGCTGCAGGGGAGAAGCAGTGGTTTCACAAGAGCAGGGCCCCCGGGCCACAGCCTCCACTTCCCTTTCTGGAGAAAAACCGCAGCTCAGTGCTGGATGGTGATGGAGCGGCCAAGGGGCCTGAGGTGTGGGCCGGAGGGGGAGGGGGTAGGGAAAGTGTGGGGTGGTTTGGGAAAGTCACCTCAAGTCCTCAGCTCAGGATCGGCCCTGGGGCGCTTGTGAAAAAGGAGGGATTTGTCTGAAGGACACCAGGGCCACCCAGATGCCCCCAGAGGCCACTCCCTCCCGCGTGGGCCTGCAGAGGATACCACCTCCGTGAATTCGGCTTCCGCGTAAAGGGGACCAGCAGCACCCGCGGGGCGGCAGGAGGGTCAGAGGTGATTCCATCCCGCCACGCTCCAGGAACAGCCCTGTGGGGAGCAGGCTCTCCACGGAGGCCTGCCCCCGAGGCGGTGGGGTCCCCTGCCCCCGGGGCTAAGCAAGGACGCCCCACCCCGGGGTGGCTTTGCTGTCGCTGTCTTGGACACCAGAGGTCCTGGTTGGGGTCCGGGAAAGCCCGTGGGCTCCTGTCCTCCTGGTACAGCCGTGAGGATGCAGCCCCACTCCGGGGGGCTGGAGGCTGAGGCTGAACTGGTGGCAGCCACTGGCATTTTCCGCGCCTGCTCCCGCCAGGCTGTACCATGAGCTGGAGGCGGGCCAGCCGCGGCCCTCGGCCCCTATCGGCCTCCCCAGGCCCCGAGCCCGGGGGGACTGCTGGGTCTCCAGCGTCTGGCGCTCGTGCGCAATGGAAGGGCCAGCGCTGACTGCCCGAGCAAGGCTCGTCTCCAAGCCCGGCGCTGCGCGGGGAGGGTGTGAGTTCCAGCCAGTGCCCGCCAGCACGCCCTCTCTCCGCGGGACGGATCCCAGCAGCCCAAGCGCTGGCTAACGTCCATTTCCTCTTCTCCCCACACAGGTGCTTCCAGCCGCCAGAGCGAGGGCCGGTTCCCGAAGGGCCCGGCTCTTGATGGCGTGTCTGCCCCAAACCCTGGCACCAGGGCCAGCAAGATCACCTACAGCAGGAGCGGCACCTCCACAAACGAGTGGGGGCTCTGAGGACGCCCACCCAGCATCCCGGCAGCTTTCACGGGAGGGTCTGAACCCCGAGGCCGCCGAGGGGCAGCGCCCCCGAGATGTTCTCATCACATGCCGGACTTTTCTTGTTGACCCCAGACTGACACTCTGAGGGCAGGAGAATGGCATCCGTTGCCTTTATTTCTCTCTTCTCACTGGGAGTTTGAGGACTTTTCAGGTATTCGTGGGCTGCCTGCATTTTTTCTTCTGAAAAGAGCTGATTCACATCCTGTTTCCTCTGCTGGGCTGCCGCTTTTTCTTGATGATTTATAGGCACTCTTTGCATATTATGGATATTAATCCTTTGTCATTTACTCCCCCCCCCCATTTTCTCTGCATGTCTTAGATTCCACCTATTACCAAAAACTGTGGTTATGGTGTTCTAGGCGTGTCTGTTCCTTCAGCTTCTGTTTCACACTGTGCTTAGAATTTCTCTCCCTGAGATGACTCAGCTGCTGCCTCAGACATTCTGAGAAACCATGGCCACACGCTTGCAGTGGCAGCAAATCATGCTTATTCAAAAGAAAATGTTTATTTTAAAAATAAGAACTGTCATCCCAAGCATTTATTTACATATTAATAGATATGGGTAAAAATTACAAATGGCATTAACAAAACCACAGCTTTATGTTCACAGATGGTCCGATGCTGACAGACAAGCCTGTGCGTGCCACGGCCAGGCCATTAGGAGAACGCGAACGTGGGCTTGAGGAAGGGACGGTTCACGGGCTTCGGTGGGGCCATGATCCCCAGCTTCCTACTGGCCACTGACGCCGCCTGCGCCCCGTGCACAGCAGACCCAGGTGCGAAGACGCTGCAGGCTTTAGCTCTGGAGGATGCCTTTCTGCACGCGGTGGACCCCCTAAGGTGCGACAAAGAGCAGAAAATCAAAATGATGAACAAAGCCGAGTGCGAACCGCCTCCTTTCCGACCTGCAGGGAGCAGGGTCCACGCTGGCGGTCGCTTCTCCGCCCACAGAGCCCAGGACTGAAGGAAGCTGCCCTTCACACAGACTTGCCCTTCATCTGTTTTCCTACAACGTCAAGGAGTCTTAATTCTGAGAATAATTCTGAGAGCCTCCACCGGGCCACAGAACGAGGCCCACGTTGCTGATCTGTCCAGATGCAACGAGGGAAGTGAGAGCACCGTGTTTTGAGGCCCTGGCCCCTACCCGCCCCCGGAATGCTGGCTGGTCATCTGGGGACTGGGGAAGTCGGGGCCTCTTCCTGGCAGGCCACAGATGTGGTACCCACAGAGGTAGCACGTCCCTCTTGGCCAGGGCGGAGCCCCGGCCACAGGCTCTCAGGAAGCAAGCGCTCCACTGCAGGTGCAGCAACCCTCCAGGAAGCAGGGCCGCCCCTCGCAGCAGCCTCAGTGGCCCCACAGCACGTCACTGCGCCGGGCATCCCTGGCCTTATCTGAATCCAGGGTGGGGGATGGGCAGTCTGGGGCAGTGACATCCTGGTGGGCTGGCTGAGGAGGTTTTTCCACATTTTTGACCTCTGGCTGAAGGGCGGTTTTCCTGCCACCATCTGCCAGGTGGCCAGAGGAGCAGCCTTCAACTTCCTGCTGAGAAATGAAGCCCCAAGCGAAAAGCCGCCGCTGCTGCTGCCGGACAGCGCGGACTTGCCATGGCTGCTGCCCTTGGCAACCCTGTCCCCCCTCAGCCGGGAGCCAGGGCTGGTGGGGTGTGAGTCTCAAAATGCGGGCACCCAGGGTGTGGAGGACGCAGTCTCTGGCCAGGGGCCAAGCTCACCCCGTCCTGCGCAGCCTCCTCCGGAGAGCAGGCGGGAAGCTGGGAAGAGGCTCCCAGGGGCGAGGAGGAGGTGCCGTGGAACAGGTTGTAACCTGACAGGCTTGAGCCTGGAGGGGTCAGGGAAGAATCCGGTTCCACGCCGGCCTGATTGAAGCCGGCCTCAGAGTCCGCGCCGGCTGCTGGACGGCGTGAGGTTTCCTTCTTACCCAACCACGTTCGTCCAGTCAGGAGCCTCACCCGGGAACGGAAGCCGCGCAGCGGTCCTCGGGGCACCCGGCCACACGCCCGCTAGGGCTTCAGGGAATGACGCGGCCTCCCCTGTAAACGGTGCGGATGGTCCCGCTGGGGTCCCGACCACACACTGGGTAACGGGCATCAGAAGTGTTTCAAAATCTAGCAGTGGACTCGGTTGCAGAGCGTTTCCCCAACGTTCACGCCACAGATTCCCTTGACAACGCTCCGCCATGCTCCCCGGCCCCTGCTCGCAGCCGCCTCGAGGGGGCTTGTGGAGACAGCCGGACTTCAAGGCGCCCGAATCGCCCCGGGGAGAGCCACGCGGGACCTACCCCCTTGTCCTGGAGCCGCCGAAGCCGGTCCTTCTCCGCTTGGGCCTGCGGGAGGCGGCCATCCTTTTCCTCTTCCTTTCATTTCTGGTTTGATTTGCAAAGTAGTGAGAAGAGACAGGTGCCTCCGCCTCCGACGACGACTCAGAGGCGTTTCGCCCAGGGCCTCCGCTGCCGGGCGGGCTAACGCGCGGGGCGTCCTCAGCTGCAAGGGGACGAGGCAGGCCTGACTGTGACAGGGCTGCAGGCCTGAACGTGGCTCCTCCTCCCCACTTCACAAAGCCCCCGAGGGCTCAGTGGTGATTTTTAAGTAAAGGGATCACGGCTTGCTAGAGCAGCGTGACCCCCGTGAGCAGAGACCGCGGCTCAGCCCGCCCTCTGGCCACGTCTGGGCAGTGGCTCCAGGACCTCACTGAAAAGCACAAAGCAGTGGACAACCCAACCCTCACCCACGCTGAAAACCTGCTCCCTGCTCTGGAGGGCCAGGAGAACAAGCACCGACCCACTGGGGAGGCAGAGCCCCCGCTCCCCTGGACGCCATGGAGGTCTGGGTGACTGGCTGGCTCAGCTGGGGGCACCGCGTCTGCCGCCACAGTGTGCACGACTCTCCCTCCTGGCGGCTTCCGCAGAGCGCTCGCCTCCCCCCCCACCCCCCCAACTCCAAACCAGGCTGTTAATGGAATAATTACGAGGCGGGGGACGCCCGGACACCCTGCATTTTCAGCACCTCTTACGCATAAAAGCGACCAAGCTACACAAGAACTCAAAACGCGCTGCCCCCTCCTTGCCCTTCCTCCGCCCCAGGGGCTCTGCCGTTGGAGAGGGAGACACCTCCCCGGCCGTCCCGCTGCCCGGCAGGCGCCCAGACCCTTCTGTGCTCTCATGCCCCTCGCTGAAGCTTTCTCTGCCTCAAAGTGAGGTCCGTCACCAGAGGTGGCCGTGACAGGCCTCAAGCAGCCGCAGGAGCGCTGGCAGATGAGGCCACTCCGGCAAAGCCTCTCGGTGGCCAGCGTGGACAGGACCCCCGAGTGCTGCACTCACACGTAGCTTCTGAGCATTCGGGCTCCGCCCTACATTTTACCTTCAGAGGCCAGAGGCGTCATGGCTGCTGGGCAGCGCGTCCTCCCCAGGAGAGGTGGTGCAAGAGGTGATCCGAAGCGGGCAGGGGCCACCCAGAGCCAGAGAGTGGCCCGTCTGGGCCTGCACGCAGGGTGGTTCCTCAGGCACTTGCCTTACACACCCTCCTCATAGCAGGTTCAGTACTGGGACCCCCGGGGGGGCCGATGCACCCCCATGTCAGTACAACGAGGCAGAGGAAGCACTGATACCCCAGCTCAGACCCAGGGAGCAGCCCCGGTCGTCCTCACGGAGGCCTCCAGTGGCTGCCCACTGACCTGAAAGCGTCCACTCCGAGTATTTCTGCAACACTGAAATCACTTCCGCGCCGTATTTCTCCAGCTTGTCTTCAGTAACGCCGTCAATTTGAAGCAGGACCTCAGGATCAGAAGATAAAGATTCTGTGCGTGGAAATAAAATTAGGAATTAAATGGCTACGCGGAGAAAACCCACGGAAGCAGGCTCACCCCGCCCAGCACAGCCAGTCACATGACGCCTGCCGGCAGAGTGCCAGGCAAGGGTGACTTCCTAAGAGGCGGCCAGCACCCAGGGGCCAGCACTCAGAGGGGCCAGCACCCGCAGGGGCCATGGGCCGGTCTGGGGTGTCGGCAAAGGCACAGAAGGCAGGCAGAGGGCACGGGCAACGGCGCCACGGGCCTCAGGGCTGGCCCAGACTGGCTCTTGTCCACTGTGGCTCGGCCGGGACACATGTGCCCGGCTGCAGTGCCCCGCCGCCCCATCGCTCAACATCACATGGCGGGCAAACGATGGACACAGGCCGGCAGCATGAGCTTCGCTGGAGGCCGCGGGTAGGTGTCCCGACGTCCTGCATGAGAGGACGGTGCAAGATGAAAAACCACACCAGGGGCCTGGACGCCAAGGACTGTGTGCATCTTTGAGGGTGCAGCTCACCTTGAGCGTCAGTTTAAACTGCGCTCAATTCCAAGGAGAAATAAAAGACCGAGCTACGTTTGTACATCTACGTCTCTTAGTGACCCTGGCTATCATCACAGGTAAGACACCCCCCCCACCCTACCTGCGAGCTTCTTGAGAGTGGCGGTGTTAAAAATGTTGAAGTAATGGACACCAAACACCTTCCCCAGAGACTTGCAGACTTCCGTCAGTTCTCCAAGGCATTTCTTGACCATCTCTTCCCTCTGAGACACCTTTGCCACCAGAGCTTTCTGTTTTTTCACACTGCTGGAATTTTCTGTTTCCATAAAGTCCACCTTTGTGAGAGAAAGACCAGAGGGGTGGGCGGGCGCAGGCCCAGACACATCCGCCCACGGTGGCCTCGGGCACTGAAGTGTGTGTGTGTCTCCGGGCACTGTCCCGCCCAGCACGGCGTGGCCACGCGTTCCCCAGGCCACACGGCACCCTCCTGCGCGTCTCAGTTCTGCCGGGCGAGCCCCATGAGCATGCGCGTGCCAGCAGCAGTCAGAGACCTCAACAGCTTGTTTGACAGGGGTCACCTTACGCGGGGCCACAATGAAGGTCTTTGCACGCTAAGAGGAAGAGAATATTTGCATACAGGCCCGGCACGTCAGTCCAGCAGCGCTAAGCTTTGGCAGAGACCCCGGAAGGCAGCACGTCTTTGTCCACTGTGGGATAAAAGGACACTCAGAACACCCACCTTTAGCTGCCCGCTGAGGACAACGTGGGCTTTACTTCCGGGCATCATGTAGGCAATCGCCTGGTCGTTGGCGTTGATGTACAAGTCCTCATCCAGTATCTTGTCGAGCACCAGCTTCTTGAAGAGCCTCTCGGCGTTGTGGCGGGAGTAGGCGGACCCCTTTCCAAATATCCCCGACTGAACTTTCGCGCTCTTGCTCCCTGGGAGGAAGGTACCGGAGTTAGTTTAGTCAACGTGGGTGACCGTCGTCCCCAGGAGGCTGAGAGAGGTGTGGACAGAGGACGATCTGCTCCCCGGGGGCACCCATGGCAGAGCCCACTTCAGTGGGATGAGGCCACCCGAGAGACGCGAGGACACTGTGGCTGCGTGTCCTTTCCCTGTCATTTCATAACCCACGTCGACTAAAAATAGCAGCAAATTAAGTCTGTCAAGTGCAAACACGGCACTTCCAGCCTGTGACACGCTGCTAGAGCCTCAACCGGAAGGAGGGCCTCACCCGCGCCTGGGCAGGACAACGGACTTCCAGTCTCCGGACACTGCCCGGTCCGTCCGAAGGGGCCCGCCCGCCCAGCCCGGCCTCTCGTCGCCCTCAGACGAAGCCACGTGGATTCCGCAACAAAGGCACAGGCTTGAGAGACAGCGCCACCCCCTCCCGGGGCTGAGGGCGCTTTGCTGGGGTCCCGGGCTCCCCTACTACCACAGTCACTGAAATCCTGCCCAAGAGCAGAAGGAACCCCCCGCCCCCCGCCGCAAGAACTCAAGGGTCCTAACCCCACTTCCCGACTACAACCAGGGCAGAGGCCTCCGGCCCCAGGAAGATGCCCTGCCACCCCTGCACCCCTCCCCACCTCCCCCAACGGGCCTCCCAAAGGCCGTTTATCTTGAGTCGAGTTCCCCTTGAGGGCTGCACTCCTGCTGGCCCGTCCCGAGCGCACAGCGCCCCGAGTGCGGGTGCCCCGGGGTCACGGGCTTCGGCCAGATGCCACACTCGGTCTCTTTCCTCAGGGCCGTCCGCTGCAGCTGCGGCCCCGGCTCGTCTCAGCACACAGCGCCTCTCCCGGGCACTCCGCGGGCATTTCAAGCTCAAGGTTTCCCCCTTCTACTCTGGAGAATTTTCTTAAATCACTGGTCTGGTAATTCTCTATTTTCCATTTCCAAAATGTGTGCCAGACTCTGCCTCTGCCAAGAGTGATGGTCTGCGTCTTTCACGCATCTTCGCTCAGGTTTCAGATTGACTTTCCAACCTTCCCCCTGAATCTACTGTCAATCATTTAAAAATTAAGCTCACTGCGTATTTCCCATCCACAGCGTTGTCTGATCACGTGTTCCTGCGAGACCCTCACGAGGCGCCCCACGCCCCCAGCTGCTGTCTACTTTGGAGTCGCCTCGCTCCAGGCTGCGCATCCTCCTTGGGCAGCCTCACCACCTCCAGTCAGCCGGCTGGACTTTTCAGGCGGACTTTCTGAAGCTCCCATCTAGGTCTGTTTCCCCGCAAGTCCCTCCCCGAAATGGGGCTGTAGGGTAAGCAGATGGGACCAGGTTTTGGGGGGCTGGCTGTCCCCCAAAGGCCACTAGGGCTCTGGACCCTCACTCGCTGCTGGCTTCCTGCTCAGGCAGTTGGGTTTCTTTCTGTTCTAGAATCAATTCCACTCGGTTCTTTTGTGGGCAGACTTCCTTTCACTGCCTCTCTGTATTTTTTTTTTAAAGATTTTATTTCTATTATTTTTACAAGAACTGGGGTACAGGCCAGAGATGCGGGGGATGAGAGGATTCACCAGAGACAGAGAGGGGAACAGAACCAGGAGGAATAACTGAAATCCACTGCTGAGGGGAGCAGCGGGAAGACAGGAGAGGTCTGCTGCACCATGGGGGTTGCTCCTCAGCCAGCGGGGACTGAACCGGCACTGCGGAGGCTGCAGATAGCTCCACAGCGCTGTGCTCAACTGCCTGCGCCACCAGGGAGGCCCCTCCCACCCCGCACTTCTGGCTCTCCTGACTTTGCCCCCTCAGCCCCCCCCGGGCCTGGAGACTTGAAGCATGAGGCCCAGGGACTGGCTTGGCCTCCCTCGAGCCCCCTGTGAGCACGCTCCCTGCACTCCAGCTCGCCGGCTCCACGCTGCTGCCCGCCTCCTAGTGATCTGAAGAGCCTCTAATCTGAGGATGTTCTCTTCCAGCTCCCTACGTTGCTGTGGATTGAGCCCCCATTTTGTTTCCAGAGGGCCTCAAGCAAAGGCAGCGAGACTGACACCCAGGCCGCCGTCCTGAACGGGAGCCAGTCGATGGGGGAGTCTCCGAGCAAGCCCCAGCCCGTCGCTCAGAACTGCATCGGGCTTTGTTATTTTCTTGTTTGTATGTGGAACTCCTCATCTTAGTGACTTACCAAATAAACCTTTTATGCTGAAACCCCTAAGTGCCTTAAGAGAACAGACAAAAAGGAGATTTTTTTTTAGCGCACTTGCAGCAAATTCTTTAGATGTTCAAGTTCAACGGCCGCGACCCTGACGACGAGACAGGAGACTCACCCAGGAAGATGTCGACCAGCATGTTCATCGTGAACCTGCCAGCAGGACCGACGTGCTTGGAGTTCCTCCGCGGCTGTGCTGAGCTGTGCTCCTGGACAAACCTGACAATGTGTCTGACATCATCGGTCACGTCTCTCGTCTTGTAATCCTGTGACAGAGAGATGACGTTCTGCTGGGATGAAGATAATGCCGCCGAGACTGCAATTAAATACCAACCGCAGCTGTCTCGGGAACCGCTTCCAGACCGAGACCACGACGGGGTGGCCCGGGAGCCTGTCCTTCCTGAGCGCCGGTGCCACCCTGTCTTCCGAGTCGGCACAGCGCCGTGGCATACGCCGCGCCTTCCCAGGCCTGAGCCGAGCACGGGCTTTGTGTTCACCCTCCCTACCTCCCGGAACGCACCGCGTGGTGACGCTGGCGTGAAGAACACTACCGAAGCCGGTCAGGGCCAAGTGGCCACGGTTTCGCAGTCCTCATGGGACGCGGCCTGGCAAGGGCTGTGACTGGCCTGCGCCCCCTTCTCCGAGACTGCTGCGGTGTCCCTGGGCTTCTCACCTGCCCAGCTCTCTGCTCCGGTCTCCGCCCCGAGTCTCCCTCTTCTCAGCCTGTCCACGCAAGTCTCGGGGCTCATCGGCCTATGGTAGTTTCTCCTGCCTACCCTCACATAAGAGCGGCACCCCGTCATGGTTCAAATACAATGGACACGCCAACCGCTTCTAAATTTATAGGCACACCAGCTCTCTTCAGAGTCCCAGATCGGATCGACATCTCAAACACCATCATTGCACACCACACTCCTGAGCTTCTGGCCGCTCAGCCCTCCCCAAATAGCTCGCCTGAGGGGACTTCATTCCCCCAGCTGCTCAGCCTCCCCATCCCACCCTCACTGCGCCTGCTCAGCCACAAGGATTTTCTTCTCGATACCCCTCCAGTGCACAGGTCCACCCCCCGCCCCCAGGCCCTGTTCATGGCTTTGGTCAAGAACACAGACCCAAGAGCTGCAGCTGACTCCTTCCTTCCAGCCCCTGCTCAGACCTCGCCCGTGCAGCAGGCCTCCCTGGCACTGCACGCCTGGCACCCCACCCCTCCCGATCCTGCCTCGCGCACGTTCCCTCCACACGCGTCCTCTAACTTTCGCTCGTTGCCACCCTCTCTCCGCCAGGACACCAGCTCTATGGGGCAGGGCTTTTATCTGGCTTGTTCCGTGATGTCTCAACTCCCAGGACACTGCCTGCCACAGAGCAGGCCTCAGCAAGGATTTGCAGAAACAGCGACCTGATGAGCAGCGTCAAGAGCGGGGGAGTGGCGGAGGAGACGGCCAGGACTGAAGAGCCCACCCTGAGTGACCCCTGTCCTGCCTATGCCACAGACCTTGGCACCTGCCTGCCTCGCAGTGCCCCGGGGAGATGCCATGTGGGCTGGGCCCCCACCTCGCTCATCTGTGACTCCCCAGCAGACACCTCCCGAGCTTTGTTAGCCGTGAAGCTGCTCCGCGTGGCACACAGATGTGGGACAAGGCGTGGTGGCCTGGCTGGGGGCATGAGGCTGGGCTTCCCGGCCAGCAAGCTCTGCTCAGGGCGGGTGCTGGCACGCCCACCCAGGCTCACGGCCACAGTCCTTTACAGGTTTTTAAAAACTTCTGAATATAAAAATAATAATAGAATCAGCCTGAATTCGGACACATAGCACGCTAGTTACGGAACCACTTTTGAGAATGATGTGGGTGAATGCAGCGCAGAGTGGAATTGAAAATATTCAACTTGCCCATGTTGAGCCCTTTCGGGTATCTAGAGACGAGCAGTATTTCTAAGTTAGCCTGTCACCATCGGTATGTAAGTAACGCCTCAGCATTTGGACAGGGCAAGGGCTGTTTCCACAGACGTGCCACGAGCACTCTGGAAGGCCCCTCAGCCGCGCCATGCGAGAGGAGTCACCTTTCCGGGTGCAGGCGCGTGGGGCTCTAGGCTGTGATCTGACTTCAGTGACCTCCTTGACCCTGGTAACCTCCTTAATTATAACAAATTACATACGTTCTTATCTTACCTTTGTTTTACAGCAATTATCACAGGATACTTCCGGGTATTTCTTACAAAAATCAGGGTTAAATTCATTTTCACCAAAGTAAGCCAAAAGCTGCATCCGCCTGCATTCCGTGATGTTTTCACAGTAGTGCACCATGCTGTACAAGTTATTGAAGTGAGTCTCCTTTGTGTGATGGTTTCCATCTTTTTCCACTAGACGAGGAAGAACACAGCACAGCAAGCTTATTAGAGTGGAAACACAGACAGCACGTAACACACACATTTAGAGTAGATGCAATAACGTCACATATCAAGTAAAAGTTATCAACTGTGTTATGTTTCAAGACGACACTGCCCGCAGGACGGTCAGGGGGCACTTGTCTACCCTCAAGGCCGCGGCTGTACAGGGACAGAGGGCAGCTGTCAGGCGCAGCGCAGCTTCCCTGTGGGCCTTGCTGTTCCCGGTGGGGAGACCCAGGCCACACTGTCCGCCTCAGAGGGTGCATGGAGCCACACCCATGCCAGGCAGCCCCGGGCCTCTGGGGCCCACAGGGATGCTGCTCTTAGTGTGTGGAACCCACAGGACGCCACAGGAGTGCCAGGTGAGGGCTGTGGGTATGACCTTCCGTCCGGGGGGTCGTGGTGACGCTGCACCCCTGCAGCTGCTGTGATGAGGACAGGCGCCCCCAGAAAGGCCAAGTGAAACAGGAGGGATGGCAGGCCGAGCTGACTCCAGGGTTGAGGGCAGCGGCGGGCAGCCAGGGACAGGCGGCTCTCTCCAGCTCACGAGGGTTTTTTTTTCAAAGGGCTGCTAAGTCACGAGGGCCTCAGTGACCTGCTTGGACCAGGCTTAAAACCACAATGGAGGCACTAAAGTTTAAAAGTTTCTGTTTTCACCAAGAACTGTCCTGGTGGGTGCAGGGACCTGGCCTGTGGAAAGATGGACATTCTGGCAGCAACCAGCTGTTTTCTGCCTCTAAAAACGAGGAGCCATCGCAGCACCTCCCTGGGAGGCTTTGATGGTCACAGGAGGTGGAGCAGGGGGCACAGTGGCCTACAGAGCTGGGAAATGCAGTGCCTGCCCCTTGGGGAAGGTGAAACGCCCAGAACTCTTCCTCAACAGCCAGTGTTTCGAGCAAACGAGATACGTGGTTTGGCAGTGCCTGGTGACTGCCGTGCCCACGCTCGCACCTGTCACAGCCCACCCCGGGTGTCTCCCAGAAGGTAAACGTCTCTGACGACATCAGAGCGGAAAAATGGCAGAGAACAGGCAAACCTACGCCTAGAGATTCATCCCACATAAGTAACTGCATAAAGGCCCGTGCTGCCGGTAACAGAGACACCACACGCCGCGGGGCCGAGGCAGTACAGCGGAGTCATAACTACACGCTCTTGCTGCCTGAAAAAATGCGGGGACCGTTTACACAGCAGCACATCCACGTTGTCAAATACATGCACCAGGGAAAAGCCAACCCCAAATGCCAGACAGGCCTCCCTGACGGGCAGGGGCTTCAGTTCTTAACTTGGCTGGGGGGACAGGAAGCCTCACTATTTTCTCTTTTTTGCAAGCCTTTCTTCCCGTTTAACGTGTGTTACGTGCAAGGATGCACGGAGAAATGGGCCTGGGAAATGCCAAGGAAACCAGTCACTGGAGTCACTCCTTGTGTAAGGGATGGACTGTCTCCAAGGTCTGTGGCTTGGAAATTTTCCGCCTTCAACGGGCCTGTATCATTAGTGCTTTCCAGGACGAGCATGACTACTTCTATAATGAAAATGAACCAGAAGTTTCCACATCTACACAGACATCTCCCTTTTCAATGATTAAAGAAAACTGGGGGCCTCCCCGATGGCGCAGCGGTTGAGCGCTGGGTTGCGAGGCTGCCCGCGGCCTCTGCGGCGCCGGTTCGATCCCCGGCTGCTCCCCGGCCACCGGAGGAGGGTCCCACATGGCGCGCAGACCTCTCCTGCCGCCCGCTGCTCCCCTCAGCAGTGTCCTTCGGTCCCTCTGCCTGCTCTGCTGCCCGCTCTGGCTCTGGTGGGTTCTCTCACCCTCCCATGCTTCTGACTGTACCCAGTGCTTGTATAAAAAAAAAAAGAACAACAACAACAACAACAAAAAAATAAATAAATCTTTAAAAAAAAAAGAAAACTGGGCCCAGAGCCCCACAGCAGGAGCAGCCCTGCCCCCACGGAGGGCAGAGGGCCCGCAGGGCCGTGCTTACTCAGGATGAGCCTCTTCAGCCGGGTCACGTCGTGGTAGGTGTAGAAGAGCAGGCAGTGTGACACCTCCCCGTCGCGCCCGGCGCGGCCGGACTCTTGGTAGTAGCCCTCCACTGACTTGGGGAGCGAGGCGTGGATCACGAAGCGCACGTCGGGCTTGTCGATCCCCATCCCGAAGGCGATGGTGGCGCAGATGACCTGATGGAAGAGCAGAAGCCTGTCAGGCTCGCTTTCAAAGGCATTTTACATGGTGACAAGCTCGCAGCATCTCATGGCCCCTGCCCAGCACGGGCGCCCTGAGACTCTGGCGGCGTTGCAGTCCTGCTGGCCCCGGCCCGGTGAGGAGCGCTGTGGTGTCACCGGAGCACCAGGTGAGGGGGCTGCGTCCCCCTCTTGCGCTCTTGCCCTAGGTGGGCGTCCTCACACGGGTGTGGTGTCCAGGCCTGGGCCACAGCCGTGGGGCCACGAGCCGTGGGCTCAGGCCCCGACCCCGCTGAGCGGTGGCTCTTAGAGGTGACAGCTGATCGCACACCAGCTCCTCTCATTCCTCAGCCAGTGAAAAAAAATCTCTTTTTTACAGGTGTGCATGTGCATACAAGGCACAGCGCAGGTAGCTACCGGCAGTTACCGGCCAGCGAGGTGTGCTCAAGGCAGCCTCAGAAGCCTGAGGAATCAGACTGTAGTAAAGAACAGAAAGGCTTTGTGACTACACATTTCAGCTGCAAATTTAGGACCTCTTTAAGAGGACAAAAGTGCTAGTCTCCAGGCAGAATCACATTACACAAATACAGTTGTCGGTCTTTTTTCAGCGCCAAAAAAACCAAAATGCTGCTGCAAGAACAGTATCCCCGAAGCAACCGAGCTGTCTGCAGCCCAACGGCTAAGGGAGGGAATTAGGGAGGGCGGCGGGGGTGCCACGGGGCGAGGTCAGCACCCTTCTCAGGTGGCAGTCTGGGCCAAGGCGAGCCTCCTCCAGACAGTCCACAGCAGCCTCTGGTGCGGGAGGTGGGTCAGCCTGCAGCCCTGTAGGTCCCATGAAGTGTGGGTGCTTCTGAAGACAGGCGGCCGGGTTGCTCCGGCTGCAGCTCTGTGACGGCCGGGCAGGCAGCAGCTACCCCGCGCCTGGACTGTGAGGCTCAGTGTTCTGGGAGCAGGAGCGAACAGATTTTTTTTTTCCCTCAAGATTTATTTCTTTATGCGTTCAACAGCTGGGGTGCAGGCCAGAGGTGCGGGGAGAAGGGGGCGAGAGGATCCACCAGAGACAGAGCGGGGAACAGATCAGGAAGATTGACAGAAAGACACTGCTGAGGGGAGCAGTTGGGGAAGCAGGAGGTCTGCTGCGCCATGTGGGTAGCTCCCTGGCCAGCTGGGGATCAAACTCATGCTGCAGAGGCTGCGGTCCGCTTCATAGCGTGGTGCCCTCTTGCACCACCAGGGAGGCCCAGGAGCGATCAGATTTTTAAAAATCACCTTTAAAAAAGCTCATTTTTGATCCAAGTTGTTTCTGTGCACACACATATGTATATACGTCCATTGCAGACTATCTTCACTGCAGAGTTTACCAAAGCGTTTTCCAGAAAGGTCCTCCTGACGACACGGAAGCTCCTGGTAGAGCCATGACCCCAGCAGCTAATCCACGTTTGCTGGTGAACGAGACGAGATGAGACTGGTCTCTGCTTTAAACTCGAATTCCGTTTACTAGCAAAGTGGCACTTCTGTCTCCTGACTGCCAGCCCCTTCACTGCTGAGGGTTTTCCCACTGAGGCCCAGTGAGCCCTCACCATGTCTTACTCGCTGAAGCTTCCTCTCTACCGCGACTGCTGTTCTGTTTTGTCAGCACAAAAACACTTGGGTCCCGTCTTCCTTCTTAGCAACTCTTTCCTCAGGGCGCATCCATTCTGAAATACCAGTTCCTCCATCTACGTGGAGCTGCTTTTGGCGAGGATCTGAGCTAAGCCCGCGTCACCCAGGCAGTGCGGCACGAGGGGCTGGGCGCGGGCTGTCTCCCGGGCTGCTCGGCCGGCTCACAAAACCGTGGCCAGTTGTTAATATTTTCCTGCCGAGTTGTTTGACTCTCCTTTGAGTATTCTTCCAGGCAAACTTTAGAAGTTCGTCAGAGGCCAAAGCCACTAGAATTCTGATTCAACCTATAAATCAGCGTAGGGAGGAGACACCTCTCACTCCCAGCGACGCGCACCAGGGGCATCAGGAATGTCCGGAGCCGCACAGGCCTTCGCGCGGGTGCGGGCATGAAGACAAGGGCCGTGGGCCTCGGTCTCATCTCCCCTGAAGAGTCTGCTCCTGCCGCTCTAAATCCGTGACGTCGTCTCGGCCACATCCGCGCTTGTACTGCAGCTGTCGACGACGCGTGCTCACGTCCCATTTCTTCCCGTTGGGGAAATCAACGCGCTGCACCCCAGCTGCTCGCGGCTCTCTGCAGACGCGACGCACTTACTTGCGGTACGTTTGACTACCGTGTCTATTTCAACTGCCCCCATGTCTTCCCTGCACCCACGCTCACTCTTCTCAGGCTGACCCCTCTCTTGTCGCCACCAAACATGATCTTCTCATCTTTGTTTTCTTCACATTGAAGTCACTCGCCACATCACGGATTCTTCAAAGGTCTCCTTGCGTCAGACCGGTTTCATCTTGATATACATTCTGCCATTTGCTTTGTCGTCCCGGCCTTGTCTTAAGGGGCAAACTGCATGTTCATGTCTCCCTTCACTGCAGCCTGCGACTGCCTTCTGGTGAATGCGCCCGAGTTTACATGAATCAAGTCTTGCATCTTCCCAAGGACACTAGGCTGATATCCTCTAACGTTTCCCACTAGAAAATAATTTTGAGATATTTTCTCTCTGAATCTTCAGAGGAATGATTTCTTTTCTTTCTTTTTTTTTTTGTGTGTGTGTGAGCTGAAATTTCATAAGCGACAAAAAAAATTTAGTTGTTTTTCTCAAGTAAGTTGGATTCCGGTGGGGTCTCACCAAGGCCGACGCCTGCCCCGGGGTGGGTGCCCAGCGTGTTCCTAGCTTCCCTCTTGATAATCTTGGGCTACAAATTTGTCATCTCAGAAGTAGATGTCAACATGACTCGTTTTCAGGGAAACTGAAATCCAAATCCTAGCAAGACGTGACTTCCCGCCCACCAAGGACGGCTGCAGGAGCGGGCACAGCGGGCAAGGAGGCAGGGGGCCGGGGCCTCAGGTGCCGGGAGGAAGCGCAATGAGGTAGTGCTGTGGAAAAGTCTCTCTCAAAAAACTAAATAGGGGCCTCCCTGGTGGCGCAAGGGGTTCAGAGACAGCACTGTGAAGCTACCGGCAGCCTCTGCAGCATGCGTTCGACCCCCGGCCAGGGTGCTAATGCACAGGGAACAGTTCCCCTCAGTCAATCCACCTGTTCTGCTCCCCGCTCTGTCTCTGATGAATCCTCTCACCCACCCCAAAAAATCCTCTGGCCTACCCCCCATTTCTTGCATATGCATAAATAAAAAAAATCTTAAAAAAAAAAATAAAGCTAGGGGCCTCCTTGGTAGTACAAGGGGTTAAGATGCAGTACTGTGAAGCTATCTGCAGTCTCTGGAGCATAAGTTCGATCCCCGGCCAGGAGGTGACCCATAAGGCACAGCAGACCCCTCCTGACTCGCCCCTGCTCCCCTCAGCAGTGTATTTTAGTACATCTGCCTGTTCTGTTCCCCACTCTGTCTCTGGTGAATCCTCTCACCCCCACACCTCTGGCCTGTACCCCAGTTCTTGGATGCATAAATAAATCTTTAAAAAAAACAAATAGAGGGTTACCATGTAACATAGCAATTCCACTCCTGGTATCTGCCTACCCAAGAGAATTGGAAACACGTTCACACAAACATTCGCAGAGGCATCATAACAGTCAAGCAGACATAACCCAAACGTCTACCAATGCGTGAGCGGCCAAGCAAACTCTGCTCTGTCCACACAGTGGCTATTAGTCACACACAGTGCGCGGGCAGTGATAAGTGATTCATCACGGATGAGCCTTGGGAGCACCCGCTAAGCAAAGGCAATCGTGCAGACGTCCTGTCCAAGTTCACACACAGGACATGTGTGGGACAGAGCGGTGAGCAGGGCTGATGTGCGCTAGGGGGTGGTACCACTTGGGGCAGTGCGGAGTGACTGCTCCTGGGCATGGGGTGTAGGTTTTCTTTTGGGATGACGCCATGTCCTCCCATTAGTAGAGACAGCTGCACAGCTTGTGGCCATACCATAACTACACTGCCCGTGAACTCCATAAGAGTGTATCTCAGATATGTGAGTTATATCTAAACAAAAAGGGTTTCTGAGTTAAGAAAGAAAAAGAACTTCAGAAGTTTCAAAAAAGATGTTTTTAAATCTCAGTCTTATTCTGACGTTCACTAGCGCTAAGGCCAAAGCAGGTTGCCTTCCTCGTGTGCACATCTGCTTATAAACTGTGAGGCTGTCTCCTTTATTTTTAAAACTGTGACCTGGCAGCCGTCCTGATTAATCCACTTGTGCTGAACTTCGTCTCTGGCAGAATCGCTGAGGCCGGCGTGATAAGCCAGAGCGGCGAGCCCGTCCCTCTGTAACGTGTCAGCCATGGTGTCACACTCTCGCCTGGAGAGGCAGTAAATTATCCCTGAGTCATCTGCCAAGAAACCAAAACAGTGTTGGGAAACGAGAACTTTTAACATAAACAACACAATTTACATTGTGCTCCCAGGAACAGAGGAGCCATAAGCAGAAGCCCAGGGGCCTCGTGGCACTGCACAGGCCAAGCAGGCGAGGAGCCCCGTGCCGGCGAGATCTGACTGAACAGTCCCGGCTGACCCTTGGGTGGCCACAGGCAAACCCTGGGCTCCATGTCAAGCCAACTATAAAATGGGGAGACACCCTTTCATGATTTTGTAGAAAGCACAGGGTGACCTGTATCACCCGCCTCAGACATGCTTCTTCCAACTCGGCTCCCTTCTAGGAAGCTAAACTAGGATGTAAATAAGGGTATATATAAATTTTTTATCATTTTAAAAATTAAAACAAAACAAAACAAAAAACAGTGTCACTTTAGGGGTATAATTTAAGCAAGTAAATTATGAAACATGACATACGGTAACAAGCAAGTGTTTTCTGAGTTATTAAAAAAGCACTGGAAATGCCCAGGCTACAGACCAGGTGAGGTGGAGACACTGTGTAAGCAGCGTGCTGGTGGAAAGAAAATACAACATGTATTTGTTACTAATTAACTCAATTTATCTAAAGGAAATAAAGCAAGAGGAAACCAGCTACTTGTCCTGGAATAAGGTCTGGCTTTTGCCTCTTTCTTCTCCTGTCTTAGGGAATTCCTTCAATGAGCAGGTAGTATTACTGTTGTATGTACGGTATTTTTAAAATCAGAAAATACCTGGTCTTGAGGGAAACCACCTATCTGGCAGAGGGAAAGGTACACACTGGGCTCTTTCTATTAGCTGTGGGAGGCGTGGGGGAGGGCGGAGGCTGGAAAGGAAAATTACTGACTTTTCCTTGGTCTATTGTTTGATTTGTTTAAACAAATATGTATACTAGTTTTTTAAAAAATGAAAAATGTTTAACAAAATATTCTCCATAGAAAAGCAGAAAAGGGGCTGCATGGGAAACCACCATGAATTTCAGAATCTGATTCTAGCTAACCTAACCCAACCCAACCCAACCCAACCCAACCCAACCCAACCCAACCCAACCCAGCCGAGGCGGACGGCCCTGGGAGCAGGCACTAAAACAAAGAACAGTATGATTCCCAGGGTGAGTGAAGCCAGAGGAAAGACGCTGAAACCTTGACGTATAATCGAGGCCTGCAGGAGGGAGCATGTAATATGTTTTGTCAGGGTTTACTGTTATCAAACCCAATGAGATTTTACAATTTCCAGCGAGAGCGGCAGCGCTCTGCTCTACTGACGGGCACACCAGTGCCATGGTGAGAGGGGTCCGGCGTGCACTTCTACAGGCAGAGACGCCACCGCGTCCGCCCCGGGCAGGCTACCGCCTCGGTACTCACGTGGGTGATGCTTTCGGATCCACTCCAAGCAATCAAACGCCACCTTTTTAGGCTTTTTCGGTAACACGTAGTATTTCAGATTATGTCTGTTAAAGCTCATGCTAAACCTAACAGAAATTCCAAACATAAAATTTCGTTATTCTAAGAAAATACAGTTTAGTCATCTTCAAAAATTAAGTACGGACTTTCCGCAACACAAGCCTAAGAGCTGTCTTCAAGGGAGCCTTGGCCTGCAGTTTACGGACCAGCACGCAGTGAAGTCGGACGTGGGCCAGAGAAGGCTGGGGGTGGGGGACACCCTCTGCCCGCTGCGTGAGAAGGGGATGCGTCCGGGCTCGGCCCCGGGACCAGGCTGATCTAAAAGCACATCCCGGCCACCGGCCTCCTGCGGCCCCACGGCAGCGAAGAGCTGAGTGTGGGTTGGTAGGAGCCAAAGCCCCTGTGCCCCACTCCGAGGCGGGGACCCTCCTGCCGCCCCTCCCACCTCCTCAGCGCAGCCTCCTCGGGGAGCTCGCCCGTCCCCTGCTGTGGCCTAGCTCCACCCATCAGTCTGAAGACAAAACTGCAGCCCCCGGCCCCCTTCCACGCCCGCCCTCTCCCCCCTCAGTGACCTCGCCCCTCACACCAATCTCCTCGCCTCCATTCCGGCCGGCCGTTGTCGCCGCCATTCCAGCAGAGTCATTTTTTCAAAGCTTTCAGACCACAGAAATGCGGGAGCAGTCGCAGGGCCCTCCCTGCCCCGCCCCGCCCGGCCCAGGAGCGCCAGCCCAGGCAACTCTGGGTGCCGGGAGCGGCCCTGGGGGTGGGGGGGAGGCGTCCACACGCCCTGCAGAGGGGAGCTGGGGGCCGAGCCACTGGCTTGCTGGCATTGAGCGGGGCTCCCAGCTCTACGTGCACCGACCAACCTCCGCAGGGAGGGCATTATAGGCAGCCCGGCGCAGGCAGGCGCCCCTCCCACCTAGGGGGCCCCTCACCGGGCAGCCCCTTGGCTCTCAGTGTGCAGATCCACAGGGTCTCCCCTTATCCGAGTTCTGCATCCTTTCCTATATTATCTCCTTTGGGGGTTTGCTGTCACTGCTTTAAACAGCACCCCAATATCCTTCCTATGAGTCCCACAGGGCTCCCAGTTCAGACTGCTTTTCAGGTAGGTGGGGTCTGCTCACCCCCAAAGACTTTCTTGGGGTGCACAAGCGAAGTGGCGACTCCCCCGACTCCCCGTGCACCAGTGCCTCATCCGGAGACAGGAGAAAGACGCCCCTGGGCCAGCAGGCCACTGCCTCCTCCCCACATTCCCACCATACAACTGTCCTCTCAATTTCTTGCCCCCGCCCCCCAACTTTTCTGAATTTTACTGCCTTGTGCTGTTCCAGGCTGTGAAGAAACCTCATCCAGGGCGGCTTGGATTCCTGTCAACCAGAACCCTCCAGGTGCCGTGTGTGCCTGAGAGCGGCGGGTTGGGACATTGGGGAGGTGCTGGGGCCCTGCAGGGGTCGTCACTGGGGTGCAGAGGGGAGGCGGAGGGGGACGCTCCACTCCCTCCTGAACCTTCAGCCTTTGACGGGAGGAGGTGCCGCACTCTGAGGGCTTGAGCTGGCAGAGGGGCGTGGCAGGTTGTGGCAAAAGAGGCGGTGGACAAAAGGCCAGTCCATGTGGCTGTTTGCTCATTCTCAGGTGATTATTTACAATCACTATTAGGCAGAGGAGAGCTGCAGACCTGGAAAATCTATGGCATAAGTGGTATAAGGGGTTGAACACAGCACTGTGGAGCCATCTGCAGCCTCTGTAGCATGAGTTCGATCCCTGGCTGGCCAGGGAGCGACCCATATGTCTCCCCGCTGCTCCCCTCAGCAGTGGATTTCAGTAGACCCACCTGTTCTGCTCCCCACTCTGTCCCTGGTGAATCCTCTCACCAACCCCACCTTTGGCCTGCACCCCTGCTCTTGTATGCATAAAAAAATAAATCTTTAAAAACAAATCATAAAATGACGTGAGATAGGACATAGCGTTATCGAGTAAAATCCAATCAAAAATCAAATCTGCGCAGGAGCAGCGCTTGCGCAGCTGCAGATGAAGCCGCTGACAGTCCCCAGAGCTTGTTACTTGTAACAAATCTCACTAGGCGGAAGATGGGATGTCTGGAACCACCAACACCCTAGTTAGGGACAGCTCCCACCAAGTGAGGGCCGAAAACATGACGCCCACACATAGGCCAGCCACCAGCCAGAGGTGGATGAAGGCCCCTGCGCACCCTGAGACAGTCTGGCATGGGAGGGGGGTTGGCATGATCACCAGTGTGACCAGGCTTCTCTCTGGGCCGTGAACATGCCACAGACACAGATTTGGGGACGAGTGCAGACACTCCGTGAACACACGAAATGCCCATGAAACTCTCACCTTCCCGAGGAGGAGTGTCGTGGTGTGTCACCTACATCTCAATAAAAATTTCATTTTACAAAGATTTCAGGTTCCTTAGTGTCCTCCCTGAGGGAGCACTGACTGGCGTGAGGTCCAGCATGTCCAGCTCGCGTCATTTAAGTGACATGTCAGGAAGTGGCAGCAATTTATGTCCCCTCCCGTGGTTTCGGGACGGAGTCAGCTGTCATGGGGACGTGCACTCAACAGTTCATGTGAATTGAAAAAGGAAGTCCGAATTATTTTATATAAGAAAATAAGCCTCGTTGGCAATGGAAACTGTTTGCAATTAGGGTAGAGGGCGGTCGCTTCCCATTACTTGAAAGAACTAATCCGTAGTCACAAGTTTTGACTAATCTTCTAAAAAGCACCCACACGATAAAACAGCGCAGATGTGCGTCAGGCAGGTGTGCTGAAATGGGCCATGCCTTGATCCCCCAACTCCCCCAAATATACCGGGAAGGCTCCTTTGGTGAAAGAGTAATAAGGACATTCACATCATTAAGTATCGGTCAAGCTTTTTTTTTTCCCGGTCAAGCTTTTTTTAGGGCATATTTCCCAGAAAAAGTAAACTAACAGATGACCCAACTTGCTTTACCAGTCAGATGGCGCCCAATTCTTTGTTTTTCATAAAATTTGGAGGATCTAACTGAGTTGTCAGCCGACAGATCATTGAAAATAATTTCGATGACAGATCATTATGTAATTCTGGCACCTACGTCAGCAGGAATCCAAATGACTGGGTGTTGCTGCCACAGTAAATGCCGCCCGTGCCTGTGTCCGCGCCCGGGTGCGCGGCATTTCCCGATGCATGTCCATAAAAGCCAGAAATAGGAATGAACTTGATTCATCACAGACAGGAGCCACTCAGTTACACATTCCCGAGCAGAACATACTGAAGCTCCTCTGATCAGTGACGTGCTACCGACGACTGTGACCCCACCCAGAGAGCTCTAGCACGAGAAATGAGCACACACAGTCCGCAGGGTGCCCCCCCCCCACCAGGAGGCCTGCAGGGCCCAACGCAGCAGGGGGGAGAGCAGAGGGAACTACGGGTCCCAAGAGAAAAAGAGGAGAGTAACATACCTGCTAAAGGGTTAAAAAAACGAACTGTCTTTTCTGTGTTTCTAAGTGGATGACAGCAGGCACAGTTGCTATTTATTTAAACTCATGTTGGAAAACGTTGGTTGTGAAGTTAAAAATGTCTAAGGAGGACGGTTTTCCCACCTGTGGCCAAAGAAAGTGTGGGGACTGCTGCCTCGGTCACCTCCACCGCCTTGGAAGCCTCAACACCACAGAGCTAAAGCCCATTCATTTGCCATCCCCACCCACGCCACCCCCGCATTTGCAGTTACGGTCAACGGTGCTGCTGGTCACTCTGCCAGAAACTTCCACTACGCCCACCTTCCTCACCCGTCAGAGGCCAGTCTTGTTGACTCAGCTCTGCCCCGACAGTCCCCTCGTGATGCCACCACATGCTCTGCTAACCGGTGGCCACAGAGCTCCTAAAGGGCTATCCAGCCCTCCACACCCTTCAGATTAAGCCACTTCCCGGGGCAAAATGCCCACCCAGTAAAGCTCGGTCACCTCATCAGGCTACTGGTGGCTCCGCGCAGCCTGGCCTCGAGGCTTCTTCCCGGGGCCACCCCTCTGTCTCCCCACCTCTCCTATGGGAGACACACCAATCCTCAGGCCTAACTATAACTCATGCTAGAAACTTCAGCCCCAAATCCTCATTCTCTGCTAGTAAAAATGCCACTCCCTGGCCCTGCACCCCACCAGCGTGTCTACAATCAAGAAGGCAGATGGGAGCAAGTGCTGGCGTGGGAGTGGGAAATCAACCTCACACAGCACTGGGGGAACGCAGAACGGTGCAGCTGCTTTGCAACACAGTCTGACAATTCTCCAAAAGATTAAGCGTGGCATAATCTTAAGACCTGACAATCTCTCTCCTAGGTACATGCCCAAGAGAAATGAAAACACATGCATGTGACCATTGGCACACAATGCTTCCTGCGCATGACTCGTGAAGCCCCAGAACATGGAAACACTCAAACAGCCATTATAGGATGAACAAAATGTACATGATGCATATGATGGAATATTATCTGACAATAAAAAGGAACGACAACATGGATGAACATTACTAGATGATGACCAGTGCGATATGCCACAGGCACAGGTCCATGGAGACAGAGTGCAGACTGGTGGCGAGCAAGGGCTGGGGGGGCAGACAGTGGGGCTGTGATGGGTATGTTAAGGGGACAAATGTCCTAAAATTAGGTTACGCTAGGGTTGCACGACCCTGAGAATGAACTAAAGAAACAAACAAGCATTGAATTGTATACTTTAAATAGGTTAGTTTTCATGGTAAATTATCACCTCAAAGCATCTATTTAAAAGGCCAGTGCTGGGCCTCCCCGGTGGCGCAGCGGTTGAGCGCTGGGTTGCAAAGCTGCCCGCAGCCTCTGCTGCACCGGTTCGATCCCCGGCTGCTCCCCGGCCACCGGAGGAGGGTCCCACATGGCGCGCAGACCTCTCCTGCCGCCCGCTGCTCCCCTCAGCAGTGTCCTTCAGTCCTTCTGCCTGCTCTGCTCCCCGCTCTGGCTCTGGTGAATCCTCTCACCCTCCCGCGCTTCTGACTGTACCCAGTGCATGTATAAACAAAAACAAACAAACAAACAAATAAATAAAAACATGCCTCTATTAAAAAAAAAAAAAAAAGAAAGGATTACCTTTAAAAAAAATAAAAGGCCAGTGCTACCGTGAGGACTGAGAACCCTGAGAACCTGAACAGGCCTCAGTACCCTTTATTTATTTTTTTTAAAGACTTGTTTATTTATCCTTACATACAGGAACTGGGGTACAGGTCAGATACGCGGGAAGGCGAGAGGATTCACCAGAGCCAGAGTGGGGAACAGAACAGGCAGACTGATGAAATTCACTGTTGAGGGGAGCTCATTCCTGCCTCCTCAGGAACCCCGCCTGCCCCCACACCCTGAGGCCCCGATGCACACCCCATCTCTGCTGGCTCCCTTCTGCAGCTCGGGGTCATGTTTAAAGGGTTCTGAGGGGGTTGAGCGCTGCGCTGTGAAGCTGCCCGCAGCCTCTGCAGCGCCGGCTCAATCCCGGCCGGCCAGCGAGGGTCCCACATGGCGCGCAGACCTCTCCTGCCGCGCCCGCTGCTCCCCTCAGCAGTGAATTTCGTCAGTCTGCCTGTTCTGTTCCCCACTCTGGCTCTGGTGAATCCTCTCGCCTTCCCGCGTATCTGACCTGTACCCCAGTTCCTGTATGTAAGGATAAATAAACAAGTCTTTAAAAAAAATAAATAAAGGATACTGAAGCCTGTTCAGGTTCTCAGGGTTCTCAGTCCTCACGGCAGCACTGGCCATGTGTTAGACTTTTCTACACAATTTAATTTCCCTGAGCCTCAGTTTTCTCATCCAGGAAGTGAGGACAACAGGAGCGCAGCCTTCACCAAACTTGGTGTGGATGAGTTAACACGGCTAAGTGCCCGCACACAGGCCAGCAGGCCACGCGGTCACTGCCGGGGCGCTCCAGTTAACTGTCTGCACGGCCGCCTCGTCTCTCAGCTCTCTAAGGTCCTGGGAAAAACAGAGTTGATCACGCTATCCACTCTCATGTTCCCCCAGAGGCAGGATACCATCGCCACAGGGCAGCAGGAGAGGAGCCGGGGCTCCACCCAAAGGGCCTGCCATCCCCAGGGCTTCGGCCCGGTTTATCCCACTAGGGACCTACTGGCAGGAAAGACTAGGAAACAACATGCCAGAGGGTGTCCCTGAAAACACTTCCACCGAGTGTCTGTACCCTGAGAAGGAGCACCACAGCTCGCCCGGCTGTCCGCATTTCACCCACAGTCATCAAAAGCCTGCACATGCCACGTTTATTCGTTCGCCGTGTGCAAGCTGAGTGCAGGCAGATCCCCTCGCAACCCAGGCTGGGAAGGGGCCCGCCTCTAGCCATGTGTGTCCAGATCACACTGCACACCTATACTTGCCAAGTTACTCAAGAAATGAACTGAGGGCCTCCCCGGTGACGCAGCGGTTGAGCGCTGGGTTGCGAAGCTGCCCGCAGCCTCTGCAGCGCCGGTTCGATCCCCGGCTGCTCCCCGGCCACCAGAGGAGGGTCCCACATGGCGCGCAGACCTCTCCTGCCGCCCGCTGCTCCCCTCAGCAGTGTCCTTCGGTCCTTCTGCCTGCTCTGCTCCCCGCTCTGGCTCTGGTGAATTCTCTCACCCTCCCGCGCTTCTGACTGTACCCAGTGCATGTATAAACAAAACAAACAAACAAACAAATAAATAAATAAAACATGCCTCTATAAAAAAAAAAAAAAAAAAAAAAAAGAAATGAACTGAATTTACACTACTTCTTTTACCAAGGGGCATCTGGCAGTTACATTACTGTTCTAAAAGGACAGCAGATTGCATCGGGTGTAAATCAACGGGGAATAAAGCTAGAAACACACTCTATTTAAAAAGTAGACTTTCGGGCCTCCCCGGTGGCGCAGCGGTTGAGCGCTGGGTTGCGAAGCTGCCCGCGGCCTCTGCGGCGCCGGTTCGATCCCCGGCTGCTCCCCGGCCACCGGAGGAGGGTCCCGCACGGCGCGCAGACCTCTCCTGCCGCCCGCTGCTCCCCTCGGCAGTGTCCTTCGGTCCTTCTGCCTGCTCTGCTCCCCGCTCTGGCTCTGGTGAATTCTCTCACCCTCCCGCGCTTCTGACTGTACCCAGTGCTTGCATATAAATAAACAAATAAATAAACAAATAAATAAATCTTAAAAAAAAAAAAAAAGTAGACTTTCATGGATCAGTGCGGTGCTTGTACAAGCAAACTTCCAGCCCATGGGTAGTCACTGGAATGGAGAGAACATGGTGCCTCCAACGTAACGCAGTGTAGACCAAATTGCTAAAGTAAATCATCTTCCCGTTCCCCCCCAAGTCTTGCCCAAACACCTTCTGTGAGTTTAAATTGAAATATTCCTTCTAAATTTTGCTCATCAGGAAACAAGGACAAGCCGGCATAAGTGCCGGCACGGGAACAGCCGTGGCGTCCGATGCTGAGAACTCAGAAGGTCTGTGCTCAGAACAGTGGCTTCATCTCACGACCCCAGTTTCCCTCAGACCTGCAGGGAGACGCCGCGGCTGTTCCCATGCCGGCACTTATGCCAGCTTGTCCTTGTTTCCCGATGAGCAAAAGGCAAGTGTCAAGGTTTCACCTAGACTGCTAGTCTTTGCTCCTCTAGACACCATCTCCCAGGCTGCCCACCCATAACCCAGAAGGCACGCACACCAGGGCTAAACCAGGGCTCAGCAGATGCACCAGAGCCCGCCTCGCCCCAGGCGGGGTGCACGTGGTCACCCAGGACAACAGCGCAGCGGCTCAGTGGCATGAGACATGCAAGGCCAGAGCCGTGAGCAAACCAACACCAGGGCCACTGCATGCTGCCTCCCACACGCCAAGCTGCCCCAAGCCACTCTGCTCACTGCTGAGTATGCATGGCCAGGGCTGCTGAGATGCACTTCGTTGTGGAGATCAAGCACAGGTAGAGCCCCGACACGGTTTCTGGACTGTCTGTACCATGGTGGATGTAACCGGGGCTTCAGGGGGAAGAACAGAGCGGGGCCGGCTGCTCACTCCTGAAGGGGACGCCAGGACACGTGGGTCCGCATGTGGTCAGCCCAAGTTCCCTAACAATCAGGATGACACAGGCCTGCAGGCTCTGCAGGACATGTACCCCATGGCAATGCTGGGACAGAGTTTTAATTTCGGTACGTGAAGAAAGGCCCTGAGGCCCTGGACCCCACACTGTGTCGCATGTCAGAACACCTGGGGTTCCCTGAAACCCACTGGCTCCCAGCTGCCCCAAATCTGGACCGAAGCAGCATGGGCGCAAGCAATGCACCGGGACTTTGAAGCTCTGTAAGATTGTAACATGCGGGCCCGGGAGAGCTGCTGTCCTGGGCTCTGAAACTAGAACAACTTACACCTGAGGCGAGAGGATCTTGAGCTGCGTGAGGATGTCCTTCTGCACCCGGGGGTTGGCTGTGGCCGTGAGCGCCATCACCGGGACGGAGGGGAACCGCTGGCGCAGCAAGCTCATCCTTTTGTAGTCCTGGCGGAAATCGTGCCCCCACTGGTTGGAAAGACAAAGCACTTTTCACTACCTGGCCTTCCTTACAGAAAAAGCAAACGCCACTCAATGTATTTAGAAGCACCTTATTCTTTAGTGAAATAGCAAAACAGTTCACTGAGCTTTTCTATGGTGGTGCAGATGCACATGCACGCGCACGCACACGCACGCACATGCACGCACACATGGGGCTCGGCTGGCGGGAGAGCTGGCCTTACCTGGCTGACACAGTGTGCCTCATCGATGACAAAGCGGGCAAGCAGCCTCCTCCCATACAGGTTCTCCAGAGTGGACACCAGCCTGTTACTCGCACAGACCTGGAGCAGGAATGTTTGTGACCAGACGTTAAACACAAGACACCGGGCCTCCCCTGGTGGCGCAGCGGTTGAGCTCTGGGTTGCGAAGCTGCCCGCAGCCTCTGCAGTGCTGGTTCAATCCCCGGCCACCGGAGGAGGGTCCCACACGGCGCGCAGACCTCTCCTGCCGCCCACTGCTCTCCTCAGCAGTGTCCTTCCGTCCTTCTGCCTGCTCTACTCCCCGCTCTGGCTCTGGTGAATTCTCTCACCCTCCCGCACTTCTGACTGTACCCAGTGCTTGTATAAATAAATAAATCTTAAAAAAAAACAAAAAAAAAACAAAACACGAACCACCTCACCTTAAGGACTCTGCTCTCTTTAAATTCTATGACAACTTAAACTGCATTAAAAGCGCCACGTAAAATTGGTTCTCATTTCAGTCTAAGAAGAGAGTCAGCAAAAGTAAAGAAGAGGGAACTCAGACGTCCTAGCAGGCTCACCCACAGTCGGGAGGGAGTCTAGGGCTTTTTCTTCCTCAATTTATCTGAAAGCCACCCATGTTTACATCTGGAAGAGGGTTCCGGGTGTGTGTCATGTACGTGCAAGTGGCTTGGGGGAAGCACACAGACACACACACGTGCTTAAATCTTACAGCTCTGGCCCTGACAGGACCACAGCAGTGAAGCCCCAGGAGCAATGACCACACCTGACACCTCTGTCCCAACAAGAACATGTCAAAAGGACACAGAAGCCAGCGTCACAGAGCTCCCCCATCAGGGAGGATATCAGAACATCAAAAATACATAAATGGGGCCTCCCCGGTGGCGCAGCGGTTGAGCGCTGGGTTGCGAAGCTGCGCGCGGCCTCTGCGGCGCCGGTTCGATCCCCGGCTGCTCCCCGGCCACCGGAGGAGGGTCCCACATGGCGCGCAGACCTCTCCTGCCGCCCGCTGCTCCCCTCAGCAGTGTACTTCGGTCCTTCTGCCTGCTCTGCTCCCCGCTCTGGCTCTGGTGAATTCTCTCACCCTCCCGTGCTTCTGACTGTACCCAGTGCATGTATAAACAAAACAAACAAAAGAAACCAGCAAACAAATAAATAAAGCATGCCTCTATAAAAAAAAAAAAAAAAATACATAAATGATGGCACCCACTTCATGCTGACGTCAGTAAACTCGCGGGGGAGAGGGGAAGCCCTTCCGACAGCAGCGCCCCCTCATCAGAACAGCCCCTTCTGCAGTGATGACCGGTCCAGGGGCCGACTTGGGGTGACTGGTCTCCTGTAAGTCTGGCGTGGAGGACACTCAGCCTTACTGCACCCACAACTGAGGATGCCCATCGATGACAAAGGCAAAATAGAGCTCTTCACAGGGGAGAAGCCTGGTGGACACCCCGCCAACTGGTGACCCAAGTCAAGTAGCGTCACCAGCTCGTGGTGGAGGCACAGCCCAGCCCCGGCCAGGACCCCCAAGATGGCCCCGCCCAGATGAGCCCTGACTGGCCATCAGGGGACATCAGAGGAACTCAGGTGGGGATGGCCCTCAGCACAGCGGCCTCCGTCCGCAAGGCGTCCCAATGAAAGACAGAGAAAGCAACAGTTTAAAGGTGGTTTAGCTGCCCTAACTGTGAAAGCGACATATGATGGGGCTGCAGCCCTGCCGGAAAGGCAACTCAGGCCCAGGACAAGTGAAATCAGAGTAAGGCCTCCGGCCACGTGATGCTGCTACACCAACGAGCACCTTCTGATTCTGACAACAGGACCGAAATTTTACAGTCTACCTTGTTTTGGGGAAATGCACAGCGAAGTTTTAGGATTAAAAGGACATCATGCCTGTGACTTATTGGCAGCATCTGGCTTCCGGGAGGAAGTTACACATGAGTTCTCTGTGCTACACAGCAGAGCTTAGGTGGGAGGCTGAGTGTGCCCACATGCCCGCCCTCGGCGAGGCCCACCGGAACGTGTCATGGTACAAAGTGACATCAAGTGAAAACATGAAGTCCAAATATAAAAATGTACGTGCTCTTGTGGGCTTTAGTATTTTAAGATATTTAGTATTTTAAGATAATGATATAGATACAAACCTTCTCTGGAGTAACATACAGAAGCTTTATAATTGGGTCTTTTTTTGATAATTGGAGATAAATACTTGTAGCTTCCGAGTCAGTCTTATCACCAGTAAGATATGTTGCTGGAATCTAAGCACAAAGTAATCAACAATGTTAAGTTTTATATGTTAGTCTGACAGAAGCTTATATTTATCCTTAGGTTTTATAAATATTACATAAGTCACTTATCAAACCTGTCAAAGAAAATCACGACTTATTATTGCTATTGCTCAATATGATAAAAGAACAAATGGTCAGGACACAAGCCTACCTCAGAGCACTCTCCCCAGTGTCTATTCATGCCCCTTTCCTGGCTGCCTGTGCTCCCTGCTCTCCTGCCGGTCAGTAAGGTGAGTGGAGTCGGCAGGCCAGCCCGTGGGGCCATGCTCGTCCTGAGTGGGCGGACGTGCAGGACCACGGGGCTGTGCCTCAAGCATGCGCAGCAAAGGCCGCCATGGCTGCACAGAGATGTTCTTGGAGGAAACGCAAACCAGGGGTTTTATTAAGGGGTGGGGGCGCCTAGCTGAAAACCAGTCCCCTTCAGCCACAACATGCAGGAGTAACAGGACACAAACGCGACCTCCTTCACCCAGCCAGGAAGAAAGAACGTGTGCACAGGCAAGTTCACGCATTTTAAGACGTCAAGTGGGGAGCACCAATAAAAAGCAAAGAAACCTGGGCCTCCCCTGGTGGTGCAGCGGTTGAGCGCTGGGCTGCGAGGCTGCCTGCAGCCTCTGCAGCGCCGGTTTGTTCCCTGGCCGCCGGCGAGGGTCCCACCAAAAAATTAAAAAAAAAAAAAAAAAAAGGGAAAGAAACTCTTGTGAGTCCAAAATTTACATCAGCATAGTACGCATGAAAAGTGCTTACTATTTTCCACTAGAGTAAAATCAGTTGAAAGACAAAAGTTAAATGTGTCAGGGTTTTCAGACTTGTGCTTACATACACAACCAAATGCACCGTCTATGCTTGCATTTTAGAATTCATGACCTGTTTAATCTAAATGGATATCCAGGACGAGACATAACTGTAGGTCCTGTTTTCATTAGCACTCTCGTTACCGCTGCTCGGGTCCGGCTTTACTTACGTCCAGGGAAGTCAGCTTCTGGACTTGATCGACAATCAGTGACCTCAAGGGAGAGATGACGACAGTGACCCCGGGAGACACACAGGCGGGCAGCTGGTAACACAGACTCTTGCCTCCTCCTGGAAGAGAGGATGCAGAACATCTGCAAGGCCTGTCTGTGCACGGAGGCCACAGTCAGCAGGTAAATCACAGGTGACGTATTAAACAACAGAACGGGGGCCTCCCCGGTGGTGCAGCGGTTGAGCGCTGGGTTGCGAAGCTGCCCGCGGCCTCTGCAGCGCCGGTTCGATCCCCGGCTGCTCCCCGGCCACCGGAGGAGGGTCCCACATGGTGCGCAGACCTCTCCTGCCCCCGCTGCTCCCCTCAGCAGTGTGCTTCGGTCCTTCTGCCTGCTCTGCTCCCCGCTCTGGCTCTGGTGGATTCTCTCACCCTCCCGCGCTTCTGACTGTACCCAGTGCTTGTATAAATACATAAACAAATCTTTAAAAAATAAATAAATAAACAACAGGACGCCAGGGACATCCCCAGGGAGCCAACCCGTACCACCTTCAAATAAGCCAAGATATTTAGACGATTTCAACGTGTCACAATGATCTTCCCGACACCAACAGGCACACGAGTGCGAAAGGAAAACTCTGGCAGGAAACGCACATGCAACAGATACGCTCTCTACGTCCACTTGGAAATCCAGACACGGTACAGGATGCTCTCATCATCAAGGCACGTGATTAAAACAGTTCTTTTGTATGACATTTAATTTTTATTTATTTTTAATTTAAAATTTTTTTTTAAAGATTTATTTATACAAGAACTGGGGTACAGGCCAGATGTGTGGGAGGGTGAGAGGATCCACCAGAGACAGAGCGGGGAACAGAACAGGCAGACCTGACCGAAATAGACTCTGAGGGGAGCAGCGGGCGAGGCAGGAGGGGTCTGCTGCGCCATGTGGGACCCTTGCCGGCCGGCCGGGATCGAACCCGCGCTGCAGAGGCTGTGGACAGCTTCACAGCGCAGTGCTCAACTGCCTGCGCCACCAGGGGAGGCCCAACATTTAATTTTTAAAGGATTTAAATGTGACAAAGATACACTAAAGGACACAGTGAACATGGTCTGGAGTTTGACCATGCCAAAGGGCACCTTCGACTCTCAGGCTTTTGAAACCACCGGTATGAACCTTTACTGCCGAGTCACCAAGCCCTCGTTCCCAGCTCTCTTATCAGTAAGGCAACATTCCCAACCCACCTTCCAAACAAAAGGGTAGAACTGCATTTGTGTCTATAAATGGAAGCTGAAGAGGACGTTGAAACCTCATATATTTATCTCTCAAAGCCAAGACCTCTTTGGTTCAAAATGACAAAACAAGCAGCAAAACACTCAGTGACAACTAGAATGACAATTCCAACGTCACCGTTCGGGCATGGGGGAGGCCTGTGCCAGGCACTTCTTAAGACTTCAAAACGTTTGTTTCAACTGTACACCACATTCCTTCATTTCTGCACGTGTGGGGAGCACGCTTCATTGGGATCTATCTGTAAACAACCAGGGAAGAGCAGGTGCCATGTCCCAGTGTCTGCCCCACCCTCAACAGGCACCGAACCTCCCCAGACCAGTCAGTCTCCCACGCACTGTTCACCCCAACTCGATGTGCTGGATTTTAGTGGTTTATACAAAAGCAGTTTTTTGGGTTTTTTGGGGGGTGGGGTTCTTAAAGAAGCCTTATTTTTAATCTTTAGCTATAAATCAAGAGGTTGGAACGGGGGTGGGGTGGGGGAGTGTTCAAGCATGGCTCTCTGAAGCCCCAAGGGCCGGGGAAGTCCTGAAAACATGGGCCACACGGCCACCAGAACCTTTCCCACTTCAGCTCTGCAAAACCACGCTGGGGTGAGCAGAAACTGCTGGGCGATTGGCAAACTTTTCAAGTCAGTTTGAAAAAACTCAGGTGCCCCCTCGACGACACTTAATAGTGAGGGCAACAACTCAATGCGCAGGTCACAGCAGGGGGACAGCAAGGAGCTGAGGCCCCAAGCCTCCAAGCTGCCCATCCCACCTGCTCTCTAATGCCAACGGCAAGACCACGGGCCACCGCAGGCAGCGCACGGCCCGGCCGCTCCAAAGCCGGTGAGACAGCACCACTCACGCGCTTCCCTGGACCGCCCTCGCCGCACAGCTTGCTTTTCATCCTCCTGCGCTGGCGAGGGAGCGGACGGCCTTGCTCGGCTCACAGCCCCGGAGAGGCTGAGCTGGCTGCGGCCCGCGCTCCAGGTGCAGCAGGCTACCGCCCACACCGCCGGGCTAAGCCCGCAGAAACGGCCATGGGCTCCAACAGGGACCTCCTGTTCGCGTTCCAGTCTAATTTGGAATAGAAAAGAGGAAAATTCCCAAAGAAAAAATTCCAGATCAATCAGCACCATGAGTTTGGGGCTGAAATCCTACAGGCCCATAAATGCTCTCGTCAACAACTCCAAGAGGCCTGAGGCTCGCGCTTGTGGCATGAGGGTCAAAGGTCGCTGAGCAACAGCAGCGAGACGTGGGTGTCTCCTGCGCTGCACCACAGGCTTGCATGTAACATCTGCCGATGGATTGCTGCCAGCGCCGCCCTAAAAATACATACCCGTGGGCATCAAGATGAAGCAGTCTTCGCCCAGCAGCGCGGCGTTGATGGCCTCCAGCTGATTGGTTCTGAAGTTATGCAGGCCAAATTTTTTATGAAAAATCTTCATCATTTCTTTCGTATGAGGAAGACTAAGACTCTGGAAACGCTGGTGTTTCAGATTTTTGGGTGCTAAATTTTGTGCCAACTTGTCTGAGAAAATAATCAATGTGAAGAAAAATCAGTGTGTCCACCCAAAGAGCCAGCCCAAGCTCTCACCCCTGCGCTGCAACATCAGACTCGCGCCTATGGCAGCACCTCCCCCCTTAACCCTCAAGGCCCTGAGACTCCTGGTCAAGTCCTGCCTCGAATCTTCTGCAGCACCCACGACTGCCATGTCTTCCCTCCTTCTCCCTCTCCCCTGACCTTCAAGGTGGGTTTCCTGCTCCCTTGAAACCCGCCTTCCTGGTTCCGGAACCCCCACCTGCCCTTAGAACCTCAGCACCTTTAGACACGCCTGTGTCATCTTCCTAGTCCTGTGGTGCCCGGCGTCCCCTGCAAGCGCAGGACCTGTCCAGTCCTTGGGAACAACCGCACCCCCTCAGCCCCAGTGCTGCGTGCACCTCCAGGTGGGCAAGAGGCTCGTACCTGGATGACTCCTCCACACATAAAACCCAAGCCTTAAACAGCCTCCTCTGCTTTCCTCCAGGCCTGCCTGTGCCTCCGTGACCCGCTTGTGTGACTGGGGTCGCGGCTTCCCAGTCATGGGGCCTGAGAGTTCCTGATCCTCCTTCTCCAATGTCTCTCATGTCCCCCATCCCTGTGGCTTCACTGTGGCAACCCCGCTGCTGCAGGGGGTGAGGGGCCAGCACAGCAGCTACCTGAGCCCCAACACTCAACTGGCTCAAAGATAATTGCGAGCATCAAGCATGACACATTCTAACGTGATACAAAAATAAATCCATTAACGGTGAGTTTAAAGGTCAACAGCACAACTGCGAGAACAGTCCGTGGTATTAAGTCACCAACGGCAAAACAGGGAGGGCTGTGCTGCTAAGCCCTTACACATATAAAGTTGTTTCACTTAAAAACACGTTGAGGACTTTATAGTGCTGATGTCAGGTTTTAAAATTAATTTTGCTTTTCTCCACGGTCTTAACAATGACTAATTTCACTCCTCCAAAAACTCCCTTAAGTGTGAGTGCCCAGGGGCAGCCGCTCCTCGTGATTCGCCTGCATCTTACTGGAACCTGATGCAGAACGAGACAAGTGGACATGCCATAAAAATGATGGCTTCACGGACTCCGGCCAAGAAAAATAAATTGATTTAAGAAATTTATTTCTTAAATAAATCAGCCCTCTGATGGTCCCGTATTTTAATATTTTCGGACACAAAACCTATCTATAAATCGGGTTCTCAGCAATCTAGAGCTTGAAAAATGCACAATTACTTTTTTAACATAAATTCAGCTTTGTTTTTTTGCCCACCCCCCCCAAAATCAGTAAAAACTTGGGCTTCAGGAGCTTTATTGTTTTAGAAACTAAAAAATGCTAATTTAAAGGCAAAGCACATTTGTGATGACTTTGGAGCTTTACTACAATAGGTTATAATTACACATTTTATAAAACTACAGCTGCTACGGAAACAAAAGAGCAACTCACTTTTGAAACTGTGATTTGTAATTCATATTATCAGGAGAAATTTGCATAGAAACAAAGTGGCTTTCTGGGAATGGTGACTTGCTGTGGCTTTTCTGATCCAACGCCCATTCTGGACAGTCTTGTTTCTGGGTAACCCACACGCACTCGGGGCTGCGGACTTACCGGGGCAATTGTGAATCGATGCTGAGGAGTTCTGATATTGAGCAGTAGATGCCACCGGCAGACAGTTCGTCTTGGCTGAAAGTCTTTCTGATAATGACTTAACGGGCCGACCTTCCTTAACCGCTTGATAGGCAGCTGTGGAGGACTTGCCAGAGGCCAAATTACACATTATATCTTCCCAGTCCTCGTCATCATCGTCAAAGTCATCTATATGGAAATGATCGATGTCATGGGGGCCACGGCCCCCTCTGTCTGTGTCAGCAAGGGGAGCCTGGTGTTTGTTCGGATGTTTTACAGCCGTGCTGGTGAGAACCTTGCCTGGGAAATAAGGGTTTTCAGTTTGTCTGTCTACCCTCGGAGTGTCAGTCTTGGGGCTGCCCGCCCAGGGCTGCCACGCACGGGAGCTGAGCGCTGCACTCTCAGCGGCGCCCCCTGTGGTGCCTGAGGCCGCTGGCCCCAAGACCGAGGCCACTGAACATTCGCCGGCAGAAAAGGAGGTTGAGGGCAGGTGTGCAAAATCGAGCCCCTGAACTGAAGTCCCAGCGGGACAGGAATCCCCCTCTGCGAGTGTGTAAGGCAAGGAAACAGAAGCCACGTTGTCCACTCGGTGGCCACATGAGCCAGGCTGCCATGGCCACTCTGGGCCGAGGGCGCCAGCATCACCCACGTTGGACTTGGCGCCCGCGAGGAGCTTCCTCCTGGAGGGGAACAAAAGGGCGACACTCATTGTGAGAGCTGACAGTGGAGGCTCCAGGTAGATCTTTAGTTATTGTCCCAAACAAAAATCATGGCTAAATACAGTTTCTTTTCCTTAATCTCAGAATCAGAGTGCCAATCTGGCCGGAGACTGGCCCGCGCAGTTTCCCGGCCAGGCTGCCTGGCGACCTTGCCGGGCGAGGAGAGGCAGAGGGACAACCAGACCTGGCCCAGGAGAGGTGAGGAGGTACCTGAGATCCCGCTGCTGCAGCAGTTGGGGCCCGCGTGGCAAGGCCCGCAGCGCGTCAGCAGGGACGGCGTCCACCAGCTCGCAGATGCGGCCCATCACCAGGAGAAGCTCCGGGCAGAGGTGCGTCGGTCCAGCTGCAAAGTCATGGTGGCATTAGAGTGTCTCCTTGAAACAAAAAGACTTAGGGATTCTGAGTCATGCATGTAAAATTGGAAATAGTCTATTTATTTTTAAATCTTTTTTTTTTTTTTAAAGATTTATGTATTTATACAAGCACTGGGCACAGTCAGAAGCGCGGGAGGGTGAGAGAATTCACTGGAGACAGAGCGGGCAGCAGAGCAGGCAGACTGACGAAGTACACTGCTGAGGGGAGCAGCGGGCGGCAGGAGAGGTCTGCGCGCCATGTGGGACCCTCACCTGGTGGCCGGGGATCGAACCAGCGCTGCAGAGGCTGCGGGCAGCTTCGCAGCCCAGCGCTTAACCGCTGCGCCACCAGGGGAGGCCCTATGCGATCATTTAACTTCACGCTAATTCCTATTATTTCTCTTAGGATAACCCAGGTTGTTGGAAGATGTGAAATTCTGTCAATTTACCCTGATCGTTTCCTAACTGCAGGTGTCAGTCTCACGGAGTGCATCATGAAGACCGATGGCTGAGGACCCCGCACGTGGCTCTGGCCGGCCTGGCCTCACTGCCAGCGGCACGGCCCCAGCCCCTCGGCGGGCATCTGATGGGGGTAGCCCTGGGAGAATCAGGCCCAGGATCTTCCTGACTGAACCAGACAAGAGGACCCCTCTTCAACAGCTGGGCAGGCTGCAGGTGGCCTCTGTCATCCTGGCCACCCTGCACAGGGAAGCAGAAGACAGCCAGACTGAACGGGGAGGAGATGGAGTGAGGGGGTACAGGGGGAGGAGAGCAGGCGTGAGTGTGCAACTCCGATGACAGATGAGCGCCTCTGAATCCAGCCCGCCCACCCCACATTTTCTTGGGACTTATTCACATAACCAAGAGGTAACCAAGGGGTGGGGGCTTGAGATGAAGGAAAGAAAACAAGTGACTGGGGGGAAGAAGGGAGGTGAGGAAGATGTCCGCTCCACCTCCAGGGCCCAAGGCCTAGGGAGAAAACCGCCATTTCGGGGGCTGCAGAGGGAGTGGTGTCCCCAGGAGACAACTGGGGAGGTCAGGGAAGAAAATGTTCAGGAGATAGTGAGGCTGCTGGGAAGTGGCTAAAGAGGGGGGGCAGTGGACGGGTCCAGGGAGACGAGAGGGCCAGCCAGGGGTGCACAGGACAGGGCAGGAACAAGGCCCTCTGGGAGGACGCGGGACCATCACTGGGATGGCCATCACCAGGCACAGGAGGTCGGGGGGCGGTGAGGGTGGAGCTGTCGAATTCCTATTCTCTGTGTTTTCCCCGCGGGAGGACGGGCGTCAGGTTAGAAAGAGGAGACTATCCAATGGCCTGAAGGAAGGGAAAGGCAGGCGAGGCCGAGAGGAGACACTCCAGCCTCCTTGTCCAGAGCTGACCCCTCAGGACACAAAGGAAACCACAGCAAGCCCCCGCCGAGATGGGAGGCGCCGAGGGCCGGAGCCGCCGCGAGAGAGACAGGCAAACATTGTTCTCGTGTTCAAAACAATCTAACGCAATCGCCAAAAGCTACAGGCTGGTGATCTTGATGTTAAGTCAAGGTAAAATTCTAGAACATGGCAACAAATAGTGGCTTTGTGTGCCCTAGGGAGAGGAAGTGATTACAGAGCTAGCGTTCACAAGAACAACCCAGCTGCGCTAAGTGGATTTCCTTCTTTGCACGGATTAGGCCGGCAACGGCGGCAGGCCCACTTGCTTAAGCGCACAAGGTCCTTTATCTTGACCCCGAGGGCTGCGCAGCAAGGGGGACAAGGCAGAAGGCCCCATTTTATGAAAGAATGACTAACTTGCCACAGGCACAAGCACACGCCCCAGGCGCTCAGAGCCTCTGGACACGCGTGCCAGGTCTTCTGCATCCCGTGACCAAGAGAAGGAAGGTGGTCTGGGGTGAATCTGACCCCGAACACAAGAGGTGAAATGGAGGGGTCAGCCAAGGGGCAGGCCTCTAGTGTCACTGCCGTGCTCTGGCCTTGCCCCACCCACCACGTGGTGACACTGTGTCATGACGTGGAAGCAGCGGGGGACTGTCAGTGCAGGAGCAGCACCGGGGACATGACAACCTGGCACGACCACCACTACCCAAGGCCAAGGTCAACAGAAACGACAAGCCTGTGCCCGGGCGCAGCGCCACGTGGGGCCGTCATGAGAAGAAAATGCCACAAGAGTCAAAATTGAGGAAGTCCCCCAAAAGTGGAAAAGCAAGAGCTGGGAAAGAGGAAAGAGACAGTGGGGGTCGAAGAGCCTGAAAGGGAAGAGTGTCTGAAAGAGAAAAAATGAACAGATGACAGGAAACTCAAAGACCCAACCCAGACACAGGAGGCCCCACATCAGGAGCAGGGCAGGGCTGCGGCTCTGCAGTCCATTGTGGCTACTGGGTTATTTCTGCCAGACGCTTGACAGAAAGTGTAGGAAAGAATTGGAAACAGAGCAAGACAGCATTAAGCTTCAAATGGACACCAAGACCCCGGCGCAGGGCAGAGATGAGGAGAACCGTGACGGCGTGCAGGGGCACACGCGGGAGCGGGCCAGGAAGGCAGCCACGCTGCACCCACTTGTTCCTGACAAGCGGTGTTTTCAGGAAACGGGGGACACCTGGGCGCAACGTGCATGCCGGAGCTTCCAAAGGGCTGTCAGCGCCTGCCAACCAGGGGCCGAGGCTGCCGCCCCAGCACTGCACAGCTTAGCAACACGCCTGACTGTCCGCACAAGCAGCCGAGGCGTGGCCTTGCGAAGTGCTCTGTACCGTCACGGCGCGTGCCAGCCTCACCGTCAGATGGATGCAGGGTCACCCTCCCAGCTGGCAGCGTGTCCTCCCGCGTGCTGGGCCCATCCCTCTCGTCCTCAGAAGTGTCGTGGTCCTTCAAGATACTGCAAAAGGAAAAGCGATCATGGCAAAGATTGGCCAAATGTCTAACTTTCCCGCAAATATTTTCCCAAGACAGGAGAGACAATATGTAGCAGAAAAAAGTGTTCTGTATCTTTTATTCTAAAACCTCTTGGTCTTCCAAATCTCAAGAGCCCCTCCCCTCCGCCCATGCCCGCTCGGGGCCCAGGCTCCGGTGCTCCACTTCCACCCTCCACGTCCACTCCAGCCCCCGCCTGTGTCAGCGGTTTTGACCAGCTCTTCTCTCAACTTGGAAAACCCACCGCTCCAACCTCTTCGTGCCCGTCACACCTCCTCTGCCTGGCGTAGGCGCTCCCTGTGGCTTGGCCACCAGCTGGCTATTACATCTCTCTTCTGAGATTCCAAGACATTTTATCTAGACTTCTGTGTGTGTGTGTGTGTGTGTGTGAGAGAGAGAGAGAGAGAGAGAGAGAGAGAGAGAGAGAGAGAGAGAGAGAGAAATTAATCTGGTCACTCTGACCAGATACAAAAAAAATACTTTAAGGTAACTATGGAAATCCAGACAGGACATGCTTTCTGGAAATGGAGAAGAACTCTCTAAGGAGGCGAGACTGGAGGAAGCCTAGGATGAGGGGTTTGGGAAAAGTGACAAACTCTGAGGAGAGATAAAGAAGACAGTTCTATTTACTTGATTCCCAGGAATCAACTGTACTTTTCTAAAGCATGGTCTAGGGATATAATCCTTTGCCTAATCAGTGACAAATACCTACGCTTTCTATCATTTTTTAAGAAGGCGACATTATAATTAGGGAAGTGACCTGTGTTTTTAGCAACATTTTCTGGATTATCCACTGACTTGCTACCTGAGGTAGGGGTGGGGGGACCCTAGTTATGATCAGGGCGTAAGTGGAGAGGAAGCTGAGGTGACTTGGGGACAGAAGAGGGAGGACCCTGAGGTCCAGCTGAAAAGGCCTAGGAACAGAACTAGAAAGACATCTTTTGCTTTAATGTTATATATTATCTAACCATTATACCTGAAATTAATCCAGACATTACAAAAACAGCATTTTAAAAAGAAACAAAATATAACAGAGTTCAACTGTGTAAAGTATAATTTGTGAAAACTCTGCTTTAGTTTTATGATTTACATGAGGTTATAAAAACATGCAGAGAAAATGTAGCTTGGAAAACCACTTTCCAATTGCTGAAGGTCTAGGAAAGTGAATTATGGTGTGATAACATAGTAACTAAATAGCCATTAAAAAGAATTAAGACTACAGGGCCTCCCTGGTGGCCCAGGGGTTAAAGTCTCAGCACTATCAAGCTATCAGCAGCCACTGCAGCATGAGTTTGAGCCCCCGCCATGACCCACATGGTGTGGCCAACCTCTCCTGTCTCCCTCCTGCTCCCCTTAGCAGTGGACTTCAGTGGATCCACCGGTTCTGCTCCCCATTCTGTCTCTGGTGAGTCCTCTCACCCCCACATCTCTGACCTACACCCCAGCTCTTGTGTGCATAAAAAAAATAAATCTTAAAAAAATAAAAACTATAGAGCAATGTGCAAAGTGTTCTAAAATGTTAAGAGAGAAGTAAAATAAAAAACTACAGTAACATGTTTATCACAGCAGGGCAGAGATCAAACACGGGCACAGCAGGAATAAAAAACACAGACAGGCCTCCCCGGTGGTGCAGCCGGTTGAGCGCAGCGCTGTGAAGCTGTCCACAGCCTCTGCAGCGCTGGTTTGATTCCCAGCCGGCCAGGGAGATACCCACATGGCACAGCAGACCTCTCCTGTCGTGCCCGCTGCTCCGTCTGCCTATTCTGCTCCCTGCTCTGTCTCTGGTGAATCCTCTCACCCTCCCGTGCCTCTGGCCTGTACCCCAGCTCTTGTATAAAAATAAATAAATCTTAAAAAAAAGAAAAAAAATCTCAATTGAAAAAAAACCAAACACAGATAAAGAAAAGTTTGGCTCGTTGGGGGAAGAGGAACAGGGGGCTTAGTTTTCCTAGTTTGTTCATCAAACAGTAATCAGCTTCAGCCTTCCTGCTCTTCAAACACCCAACACACCTGTTCAAACACAAACTCGGAGAAACTACCTCTGTGCACACCCTCCTGCCGCCACCCTTCCTCCTGAGGTGACAAACCAGGGGGTCTGATTGGCACCAGAGGACCAGCCATCAGCGGAGGACACACCCCTCCCCTGCACGGCCAGTGATGCCCACTGGGGCAAGAATGGTGGCGGCAGCGGCATCAGCGAGTCAGGCTGTCCGTGTGCCAGGGATCGCTCCCGGAACACCTCCCATCACCCGCCGGCTCGCCACTCAATCATGGAAGTTCAAGAAATGACAACTACAAAGACCAGTCCTTCCCTGCAGGGTAGGAAACAGCGAGAGTGCACTAAGACTATGCCAAGTAAAGATGCTTCGTGTCACTTCAGGTCCAGGAGTTTGGAAATACAATAGTTGTAGGAATATACTCCTCATGTCAAAACGAACTACATAAAACTGTTTGGAGGCCCTCTGTGATTAATCACGATGGAACTTTGCAGCTTCAGGATGCTGCCAGCTAAATGAAAATGAACTGTCAGGGGGCATTGTACTTTCATCTGCATATAAAACAGAAGCATAAAATAAACATCTGCAGGTCTGAGACCACGTCACTGAAGAAGTCTTTTCAGCCGCCCCAACAACGTTCACCGATGAGTCATGTACCTGACGCATTTTAAAGAGGAGGAAGAAGCAGAAGTCACTCCTTCCTCGGGAGAAGGGGGCACAAAGTCTACATTGTCCTCGTCCTCAAGCTCAATACATGGTGATTTCTCAGGTGAGCATAATTCTGTTTCTTCTAAGTTTTTCTTCTTCTCAGGAACATCTAGAGGGAAAGGGTCGACAAGCACAGGTTATTCTAGTAACTAATGAGCCGGAGCAGGCAGAATATGTGCTCTGGGAGGCCACACGCACAGCCCAGACGGCGCCACTTGTTCCTCAACATGGCTGGGGGCTGGAGACTCACACTCCAGGGCTCTCGAGACCAGCACTCTCATTTTTTGGTTTTTCACTCATGTTTAAATAAAGGTCAAGGTGCAACAATCAGCCTGACAGCTCCCCAGCACCGCGGTCTGACGGCTGGGCCAGCAGCTTTCCCAGAGCATCCCACTCGCGTCCCCCCCAAGGCCACCTGCTGCTTTCCCATTTATCGTTTCCCAAATGTTCTCTTCATAAATAGAAAACCATATACTCAGACCACAGTTTTGTGGTTATCAATCACTTTCCAGTCCTCTCTAGTCACTTTGAGGGAATTCAGGTGTGCAGAAATTTTATTCTCCTGACTCCCAGTGTGGAATGGATAAAACTCAGCTCTTGGGTCCTGGATATCTAAGAGCCACAAGACCTAAACAGAAATAACGCAGATGCAACTTCCAGCACCTTAATATTATGATTGGATCGTGGTATACATAACACAGGCAGCAGCAAGCCGTGAAGAAATATTATGGGAAAATTTGGCTTCACTTTCCAGTTCTACCGCTAATCTGCCAGCCAACCATTCAGAAGCCATTTTAAAGTCTCTGGACATTATTTTCTTTCCATGTAAAGTCACAAACCTAGCCCTGATGTTAATCTGAAAACCACCTCAGCAGCATAGTCTGTGCTTCACCACTATGCCCCGCCTCAAGGATGTGGCCAGCAGACTAACAGTGCCCCTCCCAGCCCAAGGACTCCCTTCTGCTGGGCTCCAGCAGCAAACCGTGAACAGACAGATACAGATATTGAGGTGAAAATGAAATAATGTTTACCTCTTTCCTCTCCCAAGAGAGTTTTGAAAGAGTGACTTTCCTGAGTATCTTCGTCCACAAACTCTTGGGGGCTGGGGGCGTCATCAACGTAGATGACAGACCTACCCGGCCCACCAGAGTCGCCCTTCTGCTCCTGGGGCACACAGGCCTGCTGACTTTCAGAGGAGGGAGGAGCTGGATCAGCCTTGGCCACATCGGCTTTCTGAAGCTGTGAGTTTAGACACTTTCTCTTAGACTTTTTTGACTTCTGGGCAGTGCTTACTCTGACAAAGGGATTTCTGCATGGCGTGACAAAGGCTTTTGAATTTCCAGAGGTGTCAAAGTCGTCCATATCATCCCAGTCCTCAGTGGCAATAAAAGAATCTGATGAAGAACTAAATTCTAATTTCTTGAAAGCAGAATGGCGGGACTCTTGCGTAACTGGTGTGTTCTGGGTGGTACATAAACCTTCCTGTGGAACCTGCCATGAACCTGGCAGGAAAGGTTTTGAGGTTTGCTGTCCTGCTGGGGCATTTTTAAAGTCACTGATCCTCGTCTGCTGCTTTGTGGTGTAGGGTGAAGGTTCACTGACGGGAGAGGCCTCTGTCACATTAACATCTTTATCACTTAACACAGGTGTTTTTGCCACTGACACACGAGTTACAGATGCATCATTGCCTGAAGATATTTTCTTTCTAAAAGTGAAACCTCTGAAAAATAATCAAGAAACAGAAATTAGATGAATTTTTAAAAAACCCACCAATTAAATGCTGGCGAGGGTGTGGAGGAAAAGGAACTCTCCTCCACTGCTGGTGGGAGTGCAAACTGGTCCAACCACTATGGAGAGCTGTGTGGAGATTTCTGGACCTACTAAACATAGAGCTTCCATAGGATCCAGCGATTCCACTCCTAGGTATTTACCCAAAGGACACAGAAACATCAATTCCAAAGAGCACCTGCACCCCTATGTTTATAGCAGCACTGTTTACAACAGCTAAGCTTTGGAAACAGCCCAAATGCCCCAAAATAGATGACTGGATCAAGAAGATGGGGTCCATATACACCATGGAATATTACTCAGCAGTCAAAAAAGATAAACTCATGCCATTTGCAGCAACATGGATGGAGCTGGAAGGGATCATGCTCAGTGAAATAAGCCAGAAAGAAAAAGAAAAATATCGGATGGTCTCACTCATAGCAGGAATCTAGAAACCCTAAATAAGGGACCAGGAAAAAGAATAGCTATAAGAAAGAAAATATCAAAATCCACAAACAACTATGAACCAGAGACACACTATGGGGGTGGGGGGGGGCGGGGAAAGATGGGAATGGGGTCAAAATAAGGGGGTTGCAATTGTATGGGGAATATAAAAATTAAAAAAAAAAACCCACCAATTTACCCAACAAAACTCTAAATTTTGGGACAGATTTATGTCACGACTTACTTTCTTGTTTCACAAATGAGCAAAGACTCTATCTCCCACTCTAATTTTAAAATTTACATGGTAACTTGAACTAGACATTGCATGCTGTGAGCCTTCCCTCTCAGAGGTTAATTACGCCGTTTTGAGAACATCCAGGCTGTTCCCCTGCTTTCGTTCTCAGGCTGGTCGTCTTTGATTAATAGCACCTCAAGAGGGAGGGGAGAGCATAACTAAAAAGAAGTAGAGACTCAAATGTGGCTACATGTTAGCTACTCTCATGGAAGTTTTATGGGGAAAACCAGATAAAAGCCACCAGCTCCGCAGAGCGGGGAGGACAAACAAAGGGGCAAGCAGACACTCGCTGGACTGAGTGCCATGAGGTCAATGTGGCCTTAAAAGCACCTGCAACAGTGTCCAGAACCTGGCAAGGGCCCGGTGAGTCATATGTTATTACTAGATGTTATTGGGCGGAGTTTGGAGTCTAACTTGGAGAAAACAGAACTGGAGAACTCTGTTTCCTCATAAGCTGTTTTTTGGGGAAGTTTACAAATTCATTATTTAAGTTTACAAATTCATTATTTACTCACTCAATACGTCACTGAGTAAGGGTTATGGGCTTCTGGGCAGAGGCGCTGAGCAGCTCAGGACCCAGCAAGGACTCTAATTTGCAACGTAGGGCAGCATTGACCCTCTCGGCCTCACGCCTCATCTGTGAGCACTGCGCCCGCCAGGATACTCACACAGATCTCGGCTTTGAGAGACTCAGGACATCACGAAGTTTCTGGGCTGAATGGCGTGCCAGCTGCGCCTGCAGATTGTTCTGAGGGAGAGTGGCCATGATCCTGAAAAGCGAAGCAAGGGCCGGGCATCAGGGACTGGGCTGTGAGCAGAATGCACGTGGGGCGATGCTGCCCCAGCTGCGCTCGCAAGTTTTTTGTCACCAGTTTCACAACTGGTGACATCCGAAATATCTACTCTTGACTAACCAGAGGCTCAGTTACATAGCAAAATGGCTGGCTTTTCCCCGGTGCTAAAATAAGCACAAGAGACAACAGGGAAGATTAGAAAAGGCTTCACAAAACATGGCCCAAGCCTGAAGAACAAACAGGAGCCGGACAGGGAGTAGAGGGAGAACCAGGGGTCAAACCCAAAGCCCAAACAAATAATTGAATTCTCTGCCAAAGCAGGATATGACATGTCATCTTATTAGTTTAATTAACAAAAACCAGTCTGGTCACATCCCCAGGCCGAAAACGTTGCTATTGCGGAAACACACCTGCCATAAAGCGCGGCTCCTGAAGGCTCTCCTGACGCCCAGCGATGAACACAACACCCGCGTCACGCAGGGATGCGTCTAACCCTCTGCAAGCGTCGGAGTCTCCTCTTAATTTGGATGCTAGATGCGGCCCCGTCCAGCTCTCTCACCAGGCATTACTCCTCTGTCCTCGGAGGAGGCCGGCGGCTATCCAGGGCCATCACGATCATCAGCGGGCCCGCACAGCACAGCCCCAGGGACAGCGGCAGCCAAGAGCCTTCGGCAGGACACTCGCCGAGACAAAGCTCGTTGGGACAGAAACAGACTCTCCCGTTTTCAGCCCACACTGGACAGTCTTGCCAATGCAAAAACATTTGAAAAGAAAAACAGGAGAAGAGGCAACTGCATCAGGACATGCAGACAGCGTGGTTCCACGCCACGCAACCCGAAGGCAAATCAGTCAAAACAAGAGATAATTAAAACTTCAGTAAAGAGGTTAAATAAAGTAGAACTATAAGTCCACAAACGTGAAGTGCATTCGCACAGAGTGGTCATAACTAACTAGAGGAGACAATTCTAAAAAGTCATTCAATTACCAATAGGATTGAAAAAATTAAAGTACCGGTTAAGATAGCGTCACGATGTGAAGAAAATGATCAACTACTACCGGGAGAAATAAAGGTCCAGATAGAGACATGTTTTATGTTCTTAGAATTTTAATACATAAATACCACAGTTCTTTGCAAATTAATTTATGAGTTTAACAAAATTCCACCTGAACACAAGCATATTTCACAAAACCCAGCAGAAACACCTCTGCAGGGCCTCCCCGGTGGCGCAGCGGTTGAGCGCTGGGTTTGCGAGGCTGCCCCGCAGCCTCTGCAGCGCCCGTTCGGTCCCCGGCTGCTCCCCGGCCACCAGAGGAGGGTCCCGCATGGCGCGCAGACCTCTCCTGCCGCCCGCTGCTCCCCTCAGCAGTGTACGTCGGTCCTTCTGCCTGTTCTGCTCCCCGCTCTGGCTCTGGGGAATCCTCTCACCCTCCCGCGCTTCTGACTGTACCCAGTGCTTGTATAAATAAATAAAAATAAATCTTTAAAAAAAAAAACACCTCTGCAGTTCACCTGACCTAAGCTGAGGTGAGAACACTAAGCAACGCCGGGGAAGAGCAGCCGTACAGCCCGCCAGAGGCGCGGCCGGCGTCACGTCCCAACAGGAAGCGTCCCGACGCCAGGTGTGTGCTGAGAGAAACACACGCAGCGCGGCCGAGAGTCCGGCAGGCTGCGGCCTCATTAAACAGCAGCTCTGTCCGGGCCGGGAGCTGGCAAACGGGTGCGTGGCTGGGCCTGGCCTGCAGCCTGTTTTTATAAAGGGTTTCACCGAAACACCCCAAGCCCAATTCACACGGGGCCGGTGCCGACTCGGCGCCTTCGCTGGGTAGTTGGGACGGGATTTCTAGTCTGCAGTGTCTAGAGTAGGGACTCCGGCCCTTCACAGTTAAGGTCTGCTGACTGCCGCTCCAGACTACTGTCAGATGAAGAGAAGAAATTACTAAATACACCGAGTCTACGACGAGAAGTTTAAGAAACGATCAGGTCAGCAAGGAGCTGAAAGGCGGAACGCGGAGCTGAAGCCGCCTTTGTCCTGAGGGCAGCGATCGCGTCCTGAGAACCTGCACATCAACAGTCAAAGCTGGGGCCCAAGGTCGGAAGGGCTCCCTGCGAAAGCAGGGCTGTATTGTGGGGGGAAGGTAAACCCCGACCAAAAGCCACATTCACCCTCGGTGCCCACACGTAGAGTCGCGTGTTGCCGAGGGACGGCAAAGACTCTGCAACCAGAAGGCCGAGCCCTCCCACCAACCACCCGTCTCACAGATAGTTCTTTGCCCGTCCCAGTGATATTTGGTCATGTTCTTCATCAAGGGAATATAGGGCCTCCCAGGTGGCGCAGGGGTTAAAGTCTCAGCACCATCAAGCTATCACCAGCCACTGTAGCCCATCCCTGGAGAGGGAGCTGACCCCCAGGGCACAGCAGACCTCTCCTGTCTCCCCGCTGCGCCCCTCAGCAGTGGATTTCAGTGCATCTGCCTGTTCTTTTCTCCACTCTGTCTCTGGGGAATCCTCTCACCTCCCCCTGACCCCCCACACCTCTGGCCTACACCCGAGTCCTTGTATATATAAAGAAACAAATTTTTTAAAAAATTAAAACGTATGTCTTTTGTTAGCTTAACTGGCAGTTGTTTAATATTTTTATCATCTGCGTAACTAAAAATAACTTCAAATCATGAATTTAGATGATCGTGATTCTAATTCCAAGGCACTTGCTAAAGGCAAATGCAGAAACATTTCTGGAGGAATATACCATTACCTTAGGCCTTAAATAATTCCCACAAGTATTTTCTGACTATGTGCCGCAAACAGTGAGAAACGGGTCAGCACACAAGGAAATAAAGTAGCAGGAGCAAGGAGGGTGGTTGCGAGGTAAGCAGCACCGGCGTCAGGAAACAAAACAAACTATGAAAATGACCAGCAGAGCTTCTAGGAGTAAAAACACAAAATTAAGAAACCAACTGGGAGATTTACCAGGGATCACACAGCCAGAGAAAGAAAGTCAGGACACCGGAGGGGAGGCATGGGGGCGGGCGCCAAGGATCCCGGCACCCCAGGCCTCGGGACCCGGCACCATTAAGGAGCAAAGGGCGGCAGCATCTCCAGTCGGTTTTTCCCTCAGAGCAGCCTGGAGTCCTCCCTCCCAGAACACCCAGGGCACTAGAGACAAAGCCCCCTTCTCTCTCCAAGGAGACACTTCCCTCCACGCTCGGTCGTAACAAACTCGGGGGCCCTGTGTCCTCTGGGAGGGGAGATATGCCCACATTCCAGGGCGATGAGCGGCCTCTGACAAAGCATGTGCAGAGGGGCCGGCAGCCCTTCAATGCTGTCTCTTCAATGCTGCCTTCAACGCCTCTCTCCTGGGGTGGACTCAACGCAGGTACCCGCTGGCTCTCCTCCCGGGAGCTGGCAGGAATCTGAGTGGGCACTGACGGTGGACACTGCTGGCGGTTGTGTTGTAATGAACAGTCTCCAAGAATCCCTATGGGCGTGTGTGTGTAAAACGCTCTGGTAGGCTGGCCTGCGGGCGCGAAGCAGGGTGAAATGTAAGAGCCATCGTGGTTTCAGACCAACTAGGCGCACACAGAAAGATGAGTAAGAAGACAGAGAACACAAGGCTAAGAGGGGAGCCAGTGCAGAAACGCTGACACAGCAAGTCTAGCCCAAGTCCTGACCCCGAAAGACAGGACACACTAGAGCAGGGTATTTGAGAGGATCATGGCTTTTCCAGAACTAATGAGAGACATGAATTCTCAGATTCAAGAAGGCAAACGGAATCTGAAGCTAGAAAGAAATCCCTACCAAGATATGTCATTGTACCACACTGATTCCCTGGGACAAAAAGTGCTGCGACCTTTGGTGCTACTACGGTAACTGCCCGGGGGGCACGAAGGTGGATGAACCGGCAAATGAGTGTTTTCTGCCTGCTACTCCCTCTCTCCTGCCTTCTCCTCGCCCCCGCCATCCCCATTTCCTGAGACACAACAATATTGAAAGCAGGCCAATGACTAACCCTACAGAGTCCTCGAAGAGTTCAAGGGAAAGACAGAGTTGCACATTCCTGGCTTTAAATCAAAAGCTAAGAAAGATGCAGCTTAGTGAGGTCAGAGCCCAAACAGGCTGGAAGCTGGGGCTCTCACACCAAACAGGTATCAGCCAAGCTGTGAAGATGAAGGAAGGGTCCTTAAGGGAATTCCTGTGTCACCCCAGGGAACAGGCAAAGTCCAGCAACCTTCTGGAAGGCGGGGAAAGGTGGGACCATCTGGATAGAAGCGCAAACCAATCACAATGTGCCCTCAAGCCAAGGCCTAATCCAGAGCAAGGCCCTAACTGTCTTCCAGTCTGAAGGCTGAGAGGTAAGGAAGCCACAGGAGAAAAGCTGGAGGCTAGCAGAGTGGTGGTGAGGCTGAAGAAAGGACGCCATCTCTGCGCAAGGCGGCGCAGCAAGCATGACCCAGGGAAGCCCTGGCCGACACCATGGGTGAAGGGGGCCTTACCACACGGCGGATCTCCAGGGAGATGGAAGAGGCATCCACTGGAAGGAGCAGCAGCTGGACTCTCATGCTGGAGAGAATTCAACAGCTGGCTTCGAAGCTTCAAAGGATAGGCAGACTCTTGCTACGGGCTAACGCGGCCGATGAGCTGGCACTGATGTCAAAGCTCATTTACCAATCTGCAAAGTCCCAGACTCAGGAATGAAGCTCAATCCACTCTGCCTGCCTGTGCTCAAAAATGGAACGCTGACGCCTGGATGACAACACATCCGCTTCCGACGTGGTTTACTGAATATTTTAGGCCCACCGTTAAGCCCTCACTGCTTGCTGGAGGCCCCTGGTCACCACGATCTCCGTCTGATGAGATGGAGGGGACCCGGGCTGTGGCCACGCTTCCTGACACAACATCCACAAGTCACGTCAACTGCCAAGTCTTAGTATTTAAGAACTACGTTTAGCAAAGGGAAAGCTGCGATAGAGAGCAGTTCTTCTATTAGAGCTGGGCAAAGTCAACTGAAAACCTTCCGGAAAAGATTCACATTCTAGAAGCCATAAGACCGGTCATGATTCATGGGAGGTCACCATATCCACATTAACAGGACTTTGGAAGGTGACTCCAATGCTCCTGAATGACGCTGAGGGGCTCAAGACGTCAGTGGCGCAAGTAAGTGCAGATGCGTTAGGCACAACTGGAGAACCAGAACTAGAAGCGGACCTGGGGATGGGGCTGAACTGTTGCAGCCTCACGATATAACGTGAATGGACAGGGAGTTGCTTCTGGATGAGCAGAGAGTGGCTTCGGGAGACGGAGTCGCAGTTGAAGATGCCGTGAACATTACTGAAATGACAAATGACTTCGAACGTGACATGAATGCAGTGAGAAAGCGGCGCCAGGGCTTCAGAGGCCAGACTCCAGTTCGGAAAGTTCTCCTGTGGATAAAGTGCTATCAAAGGGCACCGCGTGCTACAGAGCAATCTCTCGTGAAAGGAGACCAATGACGCGGCCAACTTGATCGCTGTCTTCTCCGCCCTATCATATTATTTCAAGAAACTGCCACAGCCGCCTGCACCCGCAACAGCCGTTGACGCTGAGGCAGGACCCTCCACCAGCGAGATGACAACGTGCTAGAGGCTCATGCTAGTTGGCACACCGAAGCAATGCAGTATTTTTAAATTAAGATGTATCACTTGTTTTATACACTGAACACGACTGCACACCCAAAAGACGACAGTATAGTGTGACCGTGACTGACACACACTGGAGGAACTGAAAAATAAGGGTCCCCGCATCACGACACTCCTTGCGGTGTTCTGGAACGAGCTCACGGTATCGCCCAGGTGTGTGTACAGAGAGAAGCAAGGCGCTGACGCAGAGGCCGGGATAGTGGTCCTCTCTGTGGGAGAGGAGACAGCACCGAGGGGCCGCTGGGGTGTCAGCCATGTTCTGTTTCTTTCTTTTTTTTTAAAGATTTATTTATTTATTTATTTATTTATACAAGCACTGGGTACAGTCAGAAGCGCAGGAGGGTGAGAGGATTCACCAGAGCCAGAGCGGGGAGCAGAGCAGGCAGACTGATGAAGTACACTGCTGAGGGGAGCAGCGGGCGGCAGGAGAGGTCTACACGCCATGTGGGACCCTCGCCCAGCGGCCAGGGATAGAACCGGCGCTGCAGAGGCTGCAGGAAACTTCACAACCCAGTGTTCAACTGCTGCGCCGCCAGGGAGGCCCCCATGTTCTGTTTTTTACCTGGGACACAGGCACAGGGGTGTCTGCTTTGATAAATATCACTACGCTGCTGTTTGAGGGGGTCCTGGAGATTGCTCCCTCCAGTTCAGTGATCTGCAGGGCGCTCGGGCTCACCACGGAATCCTACTCGCAGCTAATGTATCACAGCCACACATTTAACAACCAATCAGATCGCGATGGGAAAAGACACACAGGGCAGAGAGGGTGGGAATCACCGGGCCACTGCCGCTTGCACCAGCCACTCACACCACCTCAGGTGACAGACTCGCTCTCGGTAAAGGTCAAGGCAGCTCCCTGCGTGCGGTGCTTCTGCCCCAGGCCTCGAGCTGCAGGCAGATCAGAGAGGAACCTCTACCCGCCCAAATCTCGGCCTCTTCGCATGAGGGCGAGCCCTGGTGGGGCACCACCACCTTGCGAAAGACCCCAGCGTTACCCTGGCAGGTAAAACACGCACCCCTGAAGGCCCGGGGCTCCTCCTCTTAGCTGCGCACCGGCCCAGGAACACGAGCACCAGCGGCCTTCCCGCGGGCCCCAGGACAGCCACGAGCGCCAAAGCCGGCGGATGCGCCCGGGCACCTGCGATGGGCCAGGCCTCAGCGCCACACTAACCGCTGACAGACGGTGGGTGGTTTTCTGCAAGTTTTTGAAAACGTAAAACGCCTCCTGCTGCGGGAACCAGACGAGACGAGGCGGAGGAGAACCCACCCACCCGCGAGCACTAGACCCGGGAAGCCGACGGCAGACGCGGGCCCGGCCGGGCCTCACCTGGAAATCAGAAGGGCCTCGCGGGCGCGGGGGGCGGGGGGCCCGAGCAGGCGCCCCTGGGGAGCCCCGGCGCGCTGCTCCGGGGTGGGAGACGGCGCTGTGAGATGCAGCTTCCCGCCACGCGCGGGCTGGGCCTTTGCACGGGCCGCGAACTCGGGAGTCTCTTCCTCAAGGCGTCCTGAGGGAAGGCGCGAAGCCACAGCTGTGAGGCGCGGGAGCGGGCGCGCGGGCCGGTCCCCTCAGGAACCGGGCGCCGGCGGGCGTCGCGGGGCGCGAGGGGCGGTTCCCGCGCGCCGAGCTGAGGAGGCCTCGGCGCCCCAACCCTCCTCGCCCGGGCCGCAGAGACCGGCCCCCGCCCAGGGCACGCCCCGCCCGACCCTCCCGGGGCGCGGAGCCAACCGCCCGCCCGCGCCGCCCCGCCCGGCAGGCGCGCGGGGGTCCCCGCGAGCCCCCGGCCCCGGCCCCCGACCCGGGCTCGCCCCGGCTGGAAGGCGGACGACGCGGCCCGCCCGGCCGCCCGACGGGGCCGCGGAGCCTCGGGGCGTCCCGGGCCGGGCGGGGGCCGCACTCACCGGGCCGCGGCGGCCGCCGCCGCATCCAAACTCCCCGCGCCGCCGCCGCGAGCGCCGCGCGCGCCACCTCACCGCGCGCCACAGGCCGGCGGGCCGCGATTGGCCGCGTCCCCGGGAGGCCGACCAATGGCGTGGCCGCGAGCCCGTGGCCCCGCCCCGGCGCCCTCCGCGGAGCCCCCGCGCGACGCGGGGCGGGGCACGTGCGCCCGAAGCCCAATCCGCGTCCGCAGGGCGGGGCACGTGACCCGGGCCGGGCTTCCGGCGCGGCGCGCGGCTTCAGGCCGCGACCCGGCTTTGCGCGCGGGGCCCCGGCCCGCGCCCCGCCCGCCCCGCCCGCCGGGCCGTCCCCCCGCCCCGGGCTGCGGCCCCGCCGGCCGGCGCCTCCGTCGCTGCCTGGAGGAAAAGGAAACTCCTGCTTCTCCTCCTGTGGGAAGCGGCGGATTTTTAAAAGCACAGAGCACAGCCGCGCCCCTGCGCGCGGGCGGACGCGGGGCCTCGCGCCGGGCTGAGGCGTCTGTTCACGCGGGCGCCGGCGCAGCCAGAGGCGCGGGAGGGCGCGGGGACCCCAGAGCCAGAGGCGGGCAGGGCAGGCGGAGGGACCGAGGACTCCGCCGCGGTGTTGCCGGCAGCCCCGTACAGAACGGGGGGCCTGGCCGCGGTCCTCGCCCGCGCGCTTGAGGGGCCCTGTCCACGCTGGCTGCGGCCGCACGGGAAGGTTCCTGGAGGGTCATTCACGGGGAAGGGGAGACGAGCACGCGGACGGCGCGGGGAGAAGAGTGGGAGACAAAGTTTTAAAGGCGTCCCACCCGATCCCGACCAGGAACCCCAGACGGCACCTGGGAGCTGCGCCGCCAGGAGCCGCGGAGCCGGGAAGCGGGGGACAGCCAGCCCCCCAAGGCCCGCGTGTCTGGTTTTTGTACCCAACCTGGCTGCCCAACCCCACCCTCAGGCCCCGGCCACCCTCCCTTGGTGGGGACGGGATGTGTCTTTCCCAGAGTCTTGATGGCTTCGGTCTGGCGTGGGGGTGGGGGTGGGGTCCGCAAAGCCTGCATGGGGTTGGCTCAGGGCAGCCTCTCCCCCTAACAATTGGAGCCGCGGGCGGCAGGAGGGGTCTGCGCGCCATGGGGGGCCCTCGCCCGGCGGCTCGGCGGCCGGGGAGCAGCCGGGGATCGAACCGTGCTGCAGAGGCACAGGTGTGAGGGATGTTCCAAGGATGACCCCTCGCGCCCGACAGACAGACGGGGCGCACCGGGAGTTGGCCGGTGCGGGGAGGGGCGGCGCGTGCACCGAGGACGGGGTAACTGAGGAGGGTCTGGCCCCGCCGGAGGAATCCGCGATCCGCAGCGGGAGGGGCCTCGGATGCATCCTCGCAGCAGAGGGTTGTCCTCGCAGCGCTGTGGCTCTGGGGCCGAGCCACCGCTTGGGAGCCGTGGGGGCGCGGCCAGGAAGATGGGGAGAGAGGACGCAGGGACAGGGACCGCGGGCTCTGGCGTTCACCTGAGGGCACATGAAGATTGCTGGAAGAATTGGGGGCAGGTGAGCTAGGCACAGGTTTGTGGGTGATTTTAAGTAAAATCGACAACTTGACATAAGTTGTGTGTGTCTCACCGCCACGCGGGTTTAGAGGGGTGGGTCTTCAGCACCCCGTGAGGTTTCTTCCTGCGGCACCCGTTCCCCTTCTGCTGCTGAGGCAGCTGCCATCACCCAGCACCGGCTCTTTGAAGCCCCCCTTTTTTTTTTTTTTTTTCTGATCTCTGTGGCTTCATCTATATTGTGTATATTAGCACTTTGCTTTCTTTATGTCTTTCTGGATTGCTCTTTTTTTTAAAAGATTTATTTATTTATACAAGAACTGGGGTACAGGTCAGAGGCACGGGAGGGTGAGAGAACTCACCAGAGGGTGAGAGGATTCACCAGAGACAGAGCGGGGAGCAGAGCAGGCAGAAGGACCGAAGGACACTGCTGAGGGGAGCCGCGGGCGGCAGGAGGGGTCTGCGCGCCATGTGTTTATCTCCCTGGCTGGCCGGGAATCGAACCCACACTGCAGAGGCTGTGGACAGCCCCACAGCACAGCGCTCAATCTGCTGCGCCACCAGGGAGGCCCTCTGCATTGCTCTTTATTGAGTTAAAACCTTTGTCTATTTCATATCTGCGTGACAGTTATGATTATGCTTGATTGAAAAAGTTATTCTTTGCAACAATTGTATAAATAGAAAACATAAGTAAACATACCTGATCCATTCGATTGATGGACATTTGGCTTTGTTTCCCTTCAGTTATTATAAATAAAGTTGTTGCAGACATTTCTGAGTCTTTTGTGGACGTGCGTTGACTTTTCTTGGGTAATTATCTCGGGATGGGGTTTCTGGGTCACAGGGCAGGCGTGTAATTAACTCCGATACAAACTGACATGTTTCCTAAGTGATTGTACCATTTTACACTCCCACCAACACTGGGTGTGTCCTATTTTCTGCATCCTTGCCAGCACGTGGACTTGCTAGTCTTTTCCATTTTAGCTCTTCTGCAGGGTGTTAATGGTGTCTGACTGCGGTTTAATTTACTATAAGGCTTTCGGGGGGAAGTACTGTGAATAGAGTCTCATTTTAGAAAGCTCTTTCTGGCTGTTTTTTGGGAAATGAAATTTGTCTACCAAGCTCAGAGCAGTATGACTCAAGCAGCCAAAATGTGGGGCAAAGGAACACACGTGGCGCACGCAGGCACCGGAATATTATCCAGTCTTAAAACAGGAAGGAAATTCTGATGCCACCACAGGGATGACGCGGATCACGTTATGCTAAATGAAACAGGCCGAGCTCGAAAGCACAGGTATCCCCTGAGACACCTGCTTTCGGACAGAAAGTCGGAGCGGGCCCCAGCGGGGCCCCTGGTGCTGGAAGGCGGCGGCCGCGCAGCCCTGCGAGTGTGCGGAGGCCGCAGCCTCGGACACTGACAAGCGGGTAAAATGGTAAATGGTAAACTTTAGGGAATTTCCACCGCAAGCCTCGGCCCCAGGCCCGAGACATCAGTGGCGGCAGCTCCTGTCCCAACGGTATCTGGAGCGTTTTAATTTACGGACGTGACTGAGTGGCCAAGACGTGGGGCCTGGAGACCAGCGGGGCGGGCAGTGCCGGTGAGGTCGCTGGGATATCATGGCGGTGGCTGCTGGGTTGGGAAGGCCGGCGTTACAGCGAGGCCTTGCCCACCCCCTTTCTTGAGATGACATAAGGGTACGATCTTCAAATTTAGTGGGATCTCCAGGTATCACTATCATTTGAGCCCCAACACCAATTTCATAAAGTTGTGTCAATTGGTGCATTTTAGCCAAGCCAGGTGGCAGGCGCAGAAGTCAACCAGCACCCTCTTGACCTTTGCTATAGAAACCCTTTTAGCACATAAATCTGTAAGGAATTTTGGATTTGGTCAGGATAAGGAGCTTTGTTTTAGTTTAGTTAACATTTATGTCACAATGCGCATTATAATTTACCTGGTTGCCTTTTGTTCTCTCCTACCTCTGGGGCTTGATTGTATTTCTTTTCTCCCCACCCCCTTTTCCTCCTGTTTTAGGCTTTTCGCCGGCTGCCTGGAGCCCGCAAGCTGGGGTTTGTAGTTTCTGTCTGGCTGATAAGGGGAGAGGGTGGGGGGTGGGGCGGGGGAGGCCCAGAGCTTCCCGCGGCGCCTCTCCCGGTCCCCACACCCTTTATGTTTCCTTTTAGAAATCTTTTAGGTCAGCTCAGCAGCTGCGTGTCTAGATGGCAAAGTCCCACCCTCTCTCTTTCCCATTTCCTGTCTACCCCAGGCCAGCCCCCCCTGACTCCCTTTGGCTGGTCACCTGACGGTCACCCTAGCAGGTCTGGGGCCTGGGGGCTGTTCCTCATGCCTGGTACCTGCCCAGGGCTGGTTTGTGGGGTGGGTGTTGGGGTGGTTGGGGGGGGGGTGTTGGCTTGGTGTGGTGTGGAAGGTGGGTAAGGACTTGGGGTGGATAAGTGCGTTTGTTGTATGACTTTCTGTGCTCCAAGGAGCAGGTGACAAGGGAGAGGAAGACAATGGGCTGTTAGTCTGACCCTGCGGTCAACAGATGTCAGATGGGCAAATACAGAATCGAAGGAACAAAGAGTGGCCTCTCCCTGGGGGCCGATGCCGGGCACCAGGGGCCAGAGCCTCGTGCGTGTCTGGCATGAAACAGCAGCTACTTTCGGGCACGAAAATGCCAAAAACAAAGACAAAGAGCAGCCCCTTGTGCGGCAGCTGTCTGTGTCCGCTGGCAGGCCGGGCTCACAGCGCCTGGACACCCCTTTAGAACGCCCCCATCCCCCCTCAGTCCCCCAGACTGTTGCTCCCAGGTGGCACTGAGTTCTCCAAGCCCAAGAGCGCTCCCTGAGGGCCTGGCCAGAATTCCCTGGGAAGGCACAGGGAGCCTTCCTGTGGGGGGTGTGGAGCCTGGGACGGGAGGGGCACAGCTTGTGGGAGGGGGCGGGAGCCAGACTGACAAAGAATCCACCCCTTGGGG